GAGCCTCGCACAACATGACCTTTGTCTCACAATTCACCATTACTTTGTGTTTAAAGGGTTCATATGACACTGTTTTCTGATCTGTGTTAACAATGCCGTTTCCTCATCAAAAACAAAGCCCGAGTTGTGTTTTGTTTCATTCTCACATGTTTAACACACAAACCCTGCATGCTTAGGCCAAGTTCTCAAACAAAAAAAACAAAACTCTGCTCCACTTTGTGATGTCACGTGGTAGGAAGCGCTGCACCGTGCTTTTAAACTCCATACAACTTGATTTCAGACTTGGAATTGCAAATCTCTACTGAACTAAAGGTAAAAGGAGCTGTTAACTTGAAAACTACCACTTCATGACATCACAAATTGACATTACAGATGACTCAAACGTGTGTGAATGAAACAAAACACAACTCCGGGTTTGTTTTTGATGAAATAACAACATTATAACATGGTTTAAAGCTCACAAGAGTCCGTTTTGTGTCCTTTAGACTCTGTTCCATATCATCCTTGAAATCTAAATAAAATAAAACTGCTACTAATAAAACTGGATCGACTAAAACGCAGTAATTTGAAGGAATCCTGCTTGTGATTGTGATACGTTTAGACCAAAATAAATAAAAAAATCACTCTATCTTAACTACGTACTTAAAGATGTAGACAGTCTGTTGTGTTCGAGTTACTGTAAGATATTTTATTTTTTAGTTGTAGTAAGTTGGAGTTGGAGTTTAGTCCTGGTCAGCGGTGGATGAAGTACTCAGTTTAGTAAAAGTATCTAAAAGTAAAGATTACTCAAGTAAAATATAAAAATATCACATGATTCAAGTAAAACTATTCAAATGCCTGTTTAAAAATGCACTTTAAGAGTAAAAAGTAAAAGTATTTTGCAGAGATTTTTAGAACGATTAATGATTTTGGTAAATAATTAAGCTTATATAAGTGATTGAATTTATTTATTTTTGTTTTTTTTGGTGTTTTGTGTCTTTAGTTGCTCAAAGTTGGGACTGAAACTCAAATTAAATGTGCTAAAAATAAGTCTAAGTACTTTTTACTTTTCACTCCAGATCTAAAATATAGTGAAGTAGAAAGTACAGATACCTACTATTGTACAGAAGTATTCTACATTTTCTTTTCTATTTTGTTAACCTTTCACCGCTGGTCCTGGTGAACCCTGGGATAAACCCTGCTTTAGTCTTGGTTTAGCCTCGGTTTAGTCCTGGTTTAGTCCTGGTTTAGTCATAGATCTTTTCTGTTTAATCAGGTTTTGTTCAGTTCTGCTTTAATCCATTTGAAAGATTTAGTCCTGTTATACTTCTGCTTTAGTTTTGTTTTAGATGTGTTAGTTCAGTCCGGTTTGGCCTGGTTTCAGTCCTGATTTAGTTCTGGTTTAGTTCAGGTTCAGTCCAGGTTCAGTCCCACTACAGTCCAGTTTCAGTCCCCGTTCAGTCTTGATTCAGTCCTGGTTCAGTCCTTTCTTAGCCCTGTTTCATTCCTCTTTTAATCCAGTTGCAGTCCTGGTTCAATCCTATTTCAGTCCTGGTTCAGTGCTACTTCATTCCTGGTTCAGTCCCAGTACAGTCTTGAGTCAGTCCTGTTTCAGTCCTCTTTGAGTTCAGTTTCAGTTCTGATTCAGTCCTTTCATTGCCCTGTTTCAGTCCTCTTTTAGTCCACTTTCAGTCCTAGATCAGGCCCAGTACAGTCTTGATTCAGTCCTGGTCCTGCCCTGGTTTAGTGATGGTTCAGTCCTTTCTTAGCCCTCTGTTAGTCCTAGTTCAGTCTCAGTACAGTCTTGGTTCAGTCCTTTCTTAGCCCTGTTTCAGTCCTCTTTTAGTCCAGTTTCAGTCCAGTTTCAGTCCTAGATCAGGCCCAGTACAGTCTTGATTCAGTCCTGGTCCTGCCCTGGTTTAGTGATGGTTTCAGTCCTTTCTTAGCCCTCTGTTAGTCCAGTTCAGTCTCAGTACAATCTTGTTCAGTCCTTTCTTAGCCCTGTTTCAGTCCTCTTTTAGTCCAGTTCAGTCCAGTTCAGTCCTAGATCAGGCCCAGTACAGTCTTGAGTCAGTCCTGTTTCAGTCCTCTTTGAGTTCAGTTTCAGTTCTGATTCAGTCCTTTCATTGCCCTGTTTCAGTCCTCTTTTAGTCCACTTTCAGTCCTAGATCAGGCCCAGTACAGTCTTGATTCAGTCCTGGTCCTGCCCTGGTTTAGTGATGGTTCAGTCCTTTCTTAGCCCTCTGTTAGTCCTAGTTCAGTCTCAGTACAGTCTTGGTTCAGTCCTTTCTTAGCCCTGTTTCAGTCCTCTTTTAGTCCAGTTTCAGTCCAGTTTCAGTCCTAGATCAGGCCCAGTACAGTCTTGATTCAGTCCTGGTTCAGTCCTGCTTCAGTCCTGGTCCAGCCCTGGTTTAGTCCTGGCTTAGCCCTCTGTTAGTCCTAGTTCAGTCCCAGTACAGTCTTGGTTCAGTCTTGGTTCAGTCTTGGTTCAGTCCTGGTTCAGTCCTGGTTCAATCCTTTCTTAGCCCTGTTTCAGTCCTCTGTTAGTCCAGTTTCAGTCCAGTTTCAGCCCTGGTTCAGTCCTGGTTCAGTCCTTTCTTAGCCCTGTTTCAGTCCTCTTTCAGTCCAGTTTCAGTCCTGTTCGGGTTCGTCCCTGTCTCTGTGCTCCGGCTGCTGTGGCTCTGCTCTCTCAGAATCTCCTCCACTCTCTGGGCCTTATGTAATCACAGTCAGAGACGGACAGAAATAGCCCAGACTGAGCCGCTGTGTCCTCTGGTGGACACGAGCGGTACTGCACAGGCCTCAGCAGCAGCAGCAGACATGGCGTTTCCCTGAACACAGACCAGGCACAACTGAGAGACTAAAACCACCACAATACAGTTTAATAATATTTTTCTATCTCCTTATCTACTTTGATCTATCTACATTTCACATTTGATAATATTTTTCACCATTTAATGATATTTTTCTATTTCCTTTTTTCACTTTTATCTATATCTACTTTTCACCATTTAATAATATTTTTCTATCTCCTTTTTTCACTTTTTCACTTTTAACTATATCTATTTTTCACATTTAATAAAATTTTTCTATCTCTTTTTTTTTTTTTTTTTTTTTACATTTTTTCCATTTTTATCTGTCTACTTTTCACATTTAATAATATTTTTCACCGTTTAATAATATTTTTTATCTACTTGTCTACTTTTATCTATCTGTTTTTTACATCTGATAATATTTTTCACCATTTAATAATATTTTTCTATCTCCTTATCTACTTTTATCTTTCTACTTTTCACATTTTTTCACTTTTATCTATCTATTTTTTACATTTGTATCCACTTATAGCCTATTCTATACTAGAAAATAGACTCAAGACTCAATACTGATTCTGATACCACAATGATAAGAAAAAAAAACTTAATTTAGAATTTCATTTTGAACATTACATAATTTTACTTTGTGGTTTTAGTATCAATTTGTATCTGATCTTCAATACTTTTCACATCCCTAATGGCGGCAGTTCATTTTTTTTATTTCATGATTAGATTAGAGTTGTCAAAATAGTAATTATAGCATTGAAAGAAAATACACAGTCCAATATACATTTTCTCTTTCTTATCATGATTAATTTTTGGCCATATTGTTTTTCCATTATGGCCGGTTTCACTTCGTGGAAACCGTCTGACCTCACAGGATTAGGTTTCGTTCGCTCGACCATAGGCGGATACTTTTTTAATGTAACGAATCGCTGCTGTTTGGTCGTGACGAATGTAATGCGCCAAATCCCGTAGGAAGAAGGGCAATAACGCCTTTCCCCTTGATAAAATTCACCAAACATGGCTTCACAGCTCTTCGCTGATTGGCCGGTGCGCGGTCTACAACTTCTGGGGTTCTTGCAAATCGTCTAGTGTATTCCGATTCCTGACCTAATCGCTGGAGAAATTGGATACTGGAAACCTGCTTTGTGCTTTGGTCTTGTTTATAAAAATGGCTCTAATAAAGTGGATCTTATTGGGTATATTGGTATATGTATGTATATTTAGTAGGGATGTAATGATATTCAAATTTCTCAATACAGTATTTTCACGATATACATCCCATGGTACGATATTTATTGCGATATTTTACAGAAACTAACAAAACTTTTTCCTTTTAAAATGCCTTGACAAGACTTTTGTTCCGTCATAAACCAAAGAATTAAAATTAAAAAAAAAAAAATCTTAAAAATTATGATTCTGATTATTATTTTTATTTCTTTTCATGTAGTCTGCATTGTAATGGAGCAAAGGACCATGGTCTATGTAGTTCACTCAGTTTTTTTTTTAGCTATTACTGCACCAAAACAATGAATTTAAGCAAAGAGACTTGTAATTCAATATATTGTGATGGTCCATGATATTATTGTGAGACTTTTGACGATACGATAACACGATATTTCGGTTATTGTTTTGACCTGATGGACTTATGTTACCAGATCTCCAGTGGTCTAAAGTTATGAGTTGGTGGTTTTCAGATTCTGTGATGTGAGAGCCAGATTTCCCTTGTGTTTACATTGTAATTTATCATGAAATATCCAAAAGTAAATGCATAAGTGATTAATTAGAAGCTGTTTATTAAGGAGAAGACCTAAGAACTCATCAAATTCAAACAAAATTCTGTAAAATGTTGCCATGTCATATGAAACCCAGCATTGAATTAGTAGCATTTAGCTCATACCTTTTAAATATTTTGTTTATTTTTTTTGTCAGAAATGTTTTTATTGAGATTTTTACACACATTTTTGAAAACATAAAATGACATAAAACAAAAAAACACCCACACACAGTTCACTCAGTTGAAATTATGGTTTCTACATGATGTTAAAATTCTTCCTTTTCCTTTCTTCCTTCTTCCTTTACCATTCTACCTTTTTATGTAGCTCAACTTACCTTTTTTGCTGCTTATGTTTTGTCGATTTTTCTCGTAACTTTGGGATTTTAGATCTTAAAAACCTAAACATCTTCTGTGTCTGTGTGTTACAGTTTTCTGGACAGAATCGACTCAGTAAGACAGAGTGACTACACACCCACGGACCAGGTAAGTGCTTCTTCTACTGTTATGTTTTTATTTTTAAAGGTGCACTGTGTAACTTTTCTGGTTCAGGGTCTGTTACTTCCTCATCTTCATGGAGATGTTGTTGCTTGCTTTGTCCAAGATGCTCCACAGTATCGCATTAAACGTCTCTATCTCCATGGAGACAAAAAAGTGACACCACCATGCCAAGTTAGTAGCAGTAGTAGTATTTTTAATTTTTTTTTATTCGGTCATGATCCATGGGGTTGACCGAATAAAAAAATAAAAAATACTACTACTGCTACTGTTTAGGCTGAAGTAAAAAGTACTTATAACGCCAAACCCTTTGAAATAACGACAGAAATCCAAGAAAGAAAGCGACGTATGAAGAGCAAGTTTGCATTTACAATTTCACTTACAACTTACTGTATATACTGTATAAGAGACAAAATATAAATTAAAACAAACAACAAATTTAACACATAATTCATTCATTCCAAAGCTCTATATCTTTAAAAACATAACGCTTTATTCTTTTCTTTTAAAGGCTTCTACAGTGTTTGACTTTTTTGAAATCATCACTCAGATTGTTCCATACACTAACCCCTCGAACAGAAATACAATCACTTATTTTTATTTTTAACGATGCCAGTTTTGTTTTCGTTTATTTATACAAACCTCAAAATTCACCGCCTACGATCAAAACATTGCCTTTTGTTTTGGTGCGATCGTGGACGAGGAATTTTGTGCCTTCTTTAGACGCCAGATCTGTGGAGAGTCGACCCTGCTCGTGTTTTTTTAAGCTCTAAAAACACCAATAATTGAATAAATGTGAGATAGATAAGTTTAATGCTACTGTGGAACATTTCAGGCAAAGCAATAACATCTTCATGGGAAAAAAATCTGCCAGAAAAATTACACAATGCACCTTTAATATATAAATCTGTGTTTCTGTCAATCATCATATCATCTTACGACCTCTTTGTATATAACTGTGATTTATATTATGATATTTGTGTACATACATCGTCTTATTGATACCAGTCTCTTTATTTATTGCTACTTATTTAGACTTTTTTTTATATATTTTTTACTCTTTGTTATTGTAATATCAGGTAATTCTGTATGTGAGCTACTATGTGCAAGTAATTTCCCTTGTGGATCAATAAAGTCTAAGTCTAAATCTAAACGTTGAACTAAAATCGGTGTCTTTTCTGTTCTAGGACCTTCTACGCTGCCGAGTGTTAACTTCAGGGATTTTCGAGACGCGGTTCCAAGTAGATAAAGTCAACTTTCAGTAAGTTTCAATCAGAATATGTTTTACCAAATAATTCAGTAATCATGAGTAATTAACTAGTAAAATAATTTTTGACTATAATCGTTTAAGTCAAGAGAGAACTGAAAGAAATTGAGAAAAGCTGAGATTCAAAATTGCCCAAGAAATATTATTAGAATAGTTGTGAGAAAATATAATATAAAATATAATATATTTTTGGTTGGTTTTTGGTCAATCTCTGCCCCTGCTGTAATCAGAGCAGTCTTGAGTGATGTCACCAAGTACTTAAAACTGCAGAGGCCACTGGAGGCAGAACACACTTTTATGCATTGCACTAAAATTACCCCCCAAAAAGCTCTAGGAACTGAAGAAAATGCTAAAACACCATTTAGCTATACAGTGGCTTATCTCCATGTATGAAATGTAATGTATGAAATTGTAAAAAGATTGTAAAAACGACTTGAGGAAAGACTGGTGCGCTATGTCAGACTAATATTGTATAATTCATTGTGTCATTTGCCAAGCCTGTAGAACACAAGTTTTATAAAATATGTTTTGTATAAATTGTAAAAGCAGCTTTTAGGGTCAAAATAAGACCACTGTGTGCTGTCTGCATCTGATTATAAAGCATTTTTATTGTCCGCAAACCAGAACCTAAGGCTTGTGCTCTTTTAGAAAGCCAGTTTTTGTTAGTATTAAACGGCAAAACTCTTCACTGGCCTCTGAAAGTATGAAAAGTTCTTGTGAAAAAGTAGGAAATTGAGTAATACATACATAGAAACTTAAAGTTATATTTTTTTCAGCCCTGATTATAACGCATTTTTACTGTCCGTGAACCTGGAACCAAGGCTGATGTTCTATTAGAATTCTAGTTATTCTTAGCAGGGTAGTAAACGGGGGCAAATAGGTCTGTTTTCCGAGGCCCCAGGGTTTTAGGGGCCCAGAATTGTACCCTTTTCCTTTTAATTTATATTAGAGGGGGGCCTGCTCCCAAATTTCTGTCAACGTGCCTGATTATTTGTGTTAAAAGTCAAAACTCTGCCTCTTAAAGTTGTGAAAAGCTTTTATAAACTCTTCAAGCTGAAAAATTTGGAAAGTGAGGAATAAATTTTATCCATCCACATTAAATAAAAGTGATATTTTGCCCTATGAATGAATAAATAAATAAAACAAACTTCGATATAATTTAAATAAAACAAATAACCGTGACATTTTGACCCTCCATCCCTCCCCTCACGCTCTCTGTCTCTGCTCTGGTCCTATTCGGAGGTATCGACTGGAGCTTCCTGTTACAGAAGCAGCCGATAATGGCAGCTGGTTTTATAAGCGTTTGACCCAGATTCTGTAGAGCAGACACAGCGCGCTCACTCCATCTGAAACAAACCTTTGTATTAAACGGTATCTGTGATTTAAACTAGTGTCAGGCACAGCTCCCTCCCCTTTGGGCTCGGAGTCGGACCACCGCAGCGTGACCAGGGTCAAAGAGGGAACTGGAGAAATGTGCTTAGAAAGAAGAGCGAAATTGTTCATGAAATATTATCGGAATAGTCGTTGAGAAAATACGCTAACTTCATACGATTATCGGAGTGGAAAAAAGAAGCGAAAAAGTTTGGTTTCACTCAAGTTAACGTGGAACTAAACACTGTGCGTATGGTGTTTGAGAAGCATTATCGAATGTTCCAATAAATGTGCAGCTTTCTGGTCAAAATCGCCTAATTCTCAGTCTGTTCTGCCTCTAGTGGGCTCTGTGATTTCAAGTAGTTGGTGACATCACGTAGGACTGCCCTGGTGTGTTTCTGATTGCAAACACCAGGCTGCAGAGGCAGAATTTGAAGTGTTAATCCCTGTTAGACCAATCACACTGCTCCACGCCTGTATTATGCCATTTTCTGATCTGATAAATCACTTCTACGACTCATTATAAATACAAATACTACTACTTAACTACACTTAAAGGTCCTATATTACACAAACTTGCCTCTTATGACCTTTAAGTCATGTTAGAATGTTGTTTACTCATCGCAAACAAACCCAGAATTGTGTTTTGTTTCATTTACACACATATTTAGGCTGAGTTCTTTTCTCAAACAGAAAATACTCCACCTTGTGATGTCATATGGTAATACAGGAAGTGCTCTAATGTGCTTTTTAACACCATTTACCTTCACTAGAATCATTTGAATGATTTCTGTCCTGGAATTGTCAATCTCCATTCAACTAAAGGTAAAGGGCAACTGTTAACATGAAAACATTTTGAGCTTTGGCGATACAGAAACTATTAATAAAGGATCACACAATGAAACAAAACACAACTCCAGGTTTGTTTTCGATGAGGTAACAACATGTAAACATGGCATGAATGAATATGTAAAAGTCTTTGGCACACTTTGACCACACGAGGCGCTATTCTGACCAGAATTGTGTTGTGTCCGCAGCATGTTCGACGTTGGAGGCCAGAGAGACGAGAGGAGAAAATGGATCCAATGCTTTAACGGTAAAATGTTTCATATATGTTTTTATTTAATGTAAAGTGCAGAGACAGACTTGATGATGATTTTCAGTTTTTAATCAATCGTAACACATAGAGAGAGATAGTATTAGCCAGAGGTGTCAAAATATTACAACACTGAAATTCAGTACTCTCAAAAACTATTACTATTAGTATTATAAAGTGTCTGTAAATAAATCATAGACTGCAAGAGAGTTACAGTTTCAGGCAGCTCCTTATTAGGAATAGATTTGCAGACAACATTGTGAAATAAAAACACCAGAATCATGTAGAGTGGGTTAACACAAACATTATAAGCCCAAAATGATGAGCCTGACAGCAGCAGTTTTTTCCATCCAAAGTGAATTGGAGCCAAAGTCAATGGAGCCGTAAGCTGCCTGTTGTGGAAAAAATGATATATCTCTTGAAGATAAATAATGAATCCATTTGCGAAGCCCGATGAGTTTTTGGAATATAGACCAAGGTTTATTCTTGTTACAGCAGATATGGACAGGGCCTAGACCTGTTCTGGCCAAAGCCCAACAGCCTCTCACCCCCAGCAGTATCTCACATGTCTCCCATGTCTGCCCCCATCTCTCATGTCTCTCCCCATGTCCCTCCCACAGCATTTGAGCTCTCAGTATTTATACAGAAATACAAGTTACATACATATCAATGCAGAGTGACTTTGGTTTCAGAGGCTGGTGCTAAATTAACATACAGTGATAACAAAAGGCTTCCTGAAGGAGGAGACAGTTGTGCCTGATGAACCTTTACACATGTTCATGACTGGTCTGGGTTTCAGGTAGAAATCACATTAATTTACACAAGACAGACTGAGAGAAATCTTTCCACAATCTAAATTTCTATCACACTGCCCATGCTCACTTCCTGTTTGGGATGTGACGTTTAGCGGCTTAGAAATGTCCATTTATATAAACAGTCTTTTACTGTATATAATTTCATGTGGCAATGAGAAAGTAAAATATTCTCTAGAAGTCAGAGGTGGGACCAAGTCGTTGTTTTTTTGCGAGTCTCAAGTAAACCTCCAGTCTTTCACCTCAAGTCCCAGTTCCAATTTCAGTCTCGAGTCACTGGCCCATAAATCCAAGTCAAGTACAAGTCGTCTGCTTTGAGCTTCAAGTCATTTCAAGTCTTTAAACCAAAATATAACTTAGATTTTTGCAGTTTATTCTTTTAATATTGAACTGTGCTTAAAAAGTCCCATTGTATATTTATATATGTGTATTTATTTAAGAGTTATACATTTTTTTCTTCTTTTTAAATGTCTTTGGGGGCAGGAGTGCTACTTGGATATACAAAAATTGTGCAGAATTGTCCTTTTGGTGCTCTTCAGTGTAGGGGCCAGACTCAAATACAAAGTAGGAAAAAACTGAGGCACTCAAAAAGTACAACATTTTTCAAAATTTGTCTCAGTTTTTTCCTTCTTTGTATTTACGACATGCGTCATTTTGTCATGTATTCTGCACTGAAATGGAAGGATCATGTTCTATGTAGTTCCCTCTGTTTTACTGTGTTGTACTTTATATTACTGTAGTACATTTGAGGATACCACATCACAATACTTCAGTTCTATCCAAAGTAACAAACAGAGAAGTGTGAGGGACATGTTCCACTTTGTTCCTGTAAAATTAATCACCGCATTTATCAACCGTAAAGAGAAAAGTATTTTATAAAAACATATTTTTTAGGAGAAGCTTCGAGTCTTCTCAAGTCACAGGGCCAAGTCCAAATCTTAAGTCACTGACCTTCAAGTCCAAGTCGAGTCCCAAGTCTTAGTCTATTTTATCAAGTCAAATCTCACACCCTAATAGTGACTCACAACTGGCAACTCTGCTAAAAGTTGGTTCAAAGTGCTGGACAGTGAGGGACAGTAAGTACGTAAGCAACTCAATAAAACAATGAAACAAGAATATGTCGTGTTTTGAGCGGCTCCTCCTCTTCCTAAGACATTTCTTCTATGAGAGACCAAACAAATTCTCTTAACTAACATATCGAAGAATCATTGTAAGATTTTGTTTGAATTAATTACTGCAAACTTGAGTATGAATTCAAAGCTTATGAGTTCCATCCTCTAATAAAAACCTATAATTTATATGTATAAAAGTAGAATTATTGTGGCTGCAAAGTTTTAATTTATTTTGTTTTTTTACTGCTTGGATATTGCTTTTTTAAATTACTGCTGGCTAAATTCGGATCAACTCTAGGTTAGATTAGGACTTGAACAGGACCAAACCAGGACAAGTAACACTCTCAAGTCCTGTGTTTCGTCTCTATTTTAAACTGCAAGCGTGAACTCAACCTAACTTAGCCTTTTAGAACAATCCAAATCTATATGTTATGAAACCGTCACACTGAATGCTCTTTGCTGATGTAATTCCCCGTGTGTCCTGTAGATGTCACTGCGATCATCTTCGTGGTGGCCAGCAGCAGCTACAACATGGTAATAAGGGAAGACAACAACACCAACAGACTACGGGAAGCACTCGACCTCTTCCGCAGCATTTGGAACAACAGGTTTGTCACAGTCTGCTAGTCTATGTAAAATTCACACACTTATTTAATACGAAAATGTAATTATTAAAGGGCATGTATTATTATTATTTTCTGATCTGTGTTAGAATGTTGTTTCCTGAAGTTGTGTTTTGTTTCATTCACAAATCCTGCATATTTAGGCTGAGTTTTTCTCTCTACATCACATTACAAGCTGGAACAGAGCATTTTGAGTTTTAGAGACAGACTAATAATAAAAGATTACTCAAACATAACACAAAACACAACTCCAGGTATGTTTTTGATGTGGTAACAACATTATAACATGGATTAAAGCTCACAAGAATAAATACAACCTCTAAATACAATAGTTAAAGCAGTCATTCTCAGACATTTTTAAACAAAGTACTACATCAGTAAAATGTGTTTGAGTTTTTACGTGATTTTAGGGATCATTACACTGGACTTACATTAATTTCCTGTAGACTGTTTATGTCTTTACTTGCCTAAACTAAACCCTAAATCCAAATCTGAACTTTAAATCATGTTGATCTAATAATAGAGGATTTATGGCAGGTCCCCATTGATTTTGGTTCCTACAATGTGAGAGATACTCCCCATCATGTCTGAACTGGGACTAAACCAGGACTAGAACAGGACCAAACCAAGTCTACATGGGGACACCTGGCTGCAGGGGTGGAGGTTGACGTGGATACCAATGAAGTGGATTAGGCCAATCACATTGCTCCTTATATGTCCAGACCTGCCCCTCCTCCTTCCTCACTCTTTGCAAAAATATCAAAATATTGATATATCATATTGTTTAATATGATGATACAGTATCGATATCATGGGCTGCTGTATCGATATATGGCCAAGAGAATTTTTTGGTATATTTTACTCAATTATTTTGTTACAGTGCTACAGTTTTGTTGCTTGTTTAGAGGAAGAAAACTCGTTTTTGCGACACATTTCACGTATTCACTGTTTGATGATTAAAATGTTTGTGTTTCATATTAAATTTGCACAAGAAGTGATTTAACAAAGACGTTTAGTATCACAGACTTGATTTAGCCTATTGTTTTTATTGAACCGTATCGAATCGATTTGTATATTTGAAATATACCGTACTGAATCGAAAGTGCATTGAATCGAGATATGTATCGTATCGTGGCCTACGTATTAAGACATGCATCATACTGTGGCCTATGTATCAAGATATGCATCGTATCGTGGCCTATGTATCGAGATATGTATCGAATCGTGACCTATGTATCGAGATATGTATCGAATCGTGACCTATGTATTAAGATATGCATGATACTGTGGCCTGTGTATCAAGATATGTATCGAATCGTGAGCTATGTATCGAGATATGTATCGAATCGTGGCCTATGTATCGAGATATGTATCGAATCGTGGCCTATGTATCGAGATATGTATCGAATCGTGGCCTATGTATCGAGATATGTATCGAATCGTGACCTATGTATCGAGATATGTATCGAATCGTGGCCTATGTATCGAGATATGTATCGAATCGTGGCCTATGTATCGAGATATGTATCAAGATATGTATCGAATCGTGGCCTGTGTATTGAGATATGTATCAAGATATGTATCGAATCGTGGCCTGTGTATCTGAGATATGTATCAAGATATGTATCGAATCGTGGCCTATGTATCGAGATATGTATCGAATCGTGGCCTATGTATCAAGATATGTATCGAATCGTGGCCTATGTATCGAGATATGTATCGAATCGTGGCCTATGTATCGAGATATGTATCGAATCGTGGCCTATGTATCAAGATATGTATCGAATCGTGGCCTATGTATCGAGATATGTATCGAATCGTGGCCTGTGTATTGAGATATGTATCAAGATATGTATCGAATCGTGGCCTGTGTATTGAGATATGTATCAAGATATGTATCGAATCGTGGCCTATGTATCGAGATATGTATCGAATCGTGGCCTGTGTATCGAGATATGTATCGAATCGTGGCCTATGTATCGAGATATGTATCGAATCGTGGCCTATGTATCGAGATATGTATCGAATTGTGGCCTGTGTATTGAGATATGTATCGAATCGTGGCCTATGTATCGAGATATGTATCGAATCGTGGCCTGTGTATTGAGATATGTATCAAGATATGTATCGAATCGTGGCCTATGTATCGAATTGTATCTGTGTATTGAGATATGTATCAAGATATGTATCGAATCGTGGCCTATGTATCGAATATGGCCTGTGTATTGAGATATGTATCAAGATATGTATCGAATCGTGGCCTGTGTATTGAGATATGTATCAAGATATGTATCGAATCGTGGCCTATGTATCGAATCGTGGCCTGTGTATTGAGATATGTATCAAGATATGTATCGAATCGTGGCCTATGTATATTGTGGCCTGTGTATTGAGATATGTATCAAGATATGTATCGAATCGTGGCCTATGTATCGAGATATGTATCAAGATATGTATCGAATCGTGACCTATGTATCGAGATATGTATCAAGATATGTATCGAATCGTGGCCTATGTATCGAGATATGTATCGAATCGTGGCCTGTGTATTGAGATATGTATCAAGATATGTATCGAATCGTGGCCTATGTATCAAGATATGTATCGAATCGTGGCCTGTGTATTGAGATATGTATTGAGATATGTATCGAATCGTGGCCTATGTATCGAGATATGTATCAAGATATGTATCGAATCGTGGCCTGTGTATTGAGATATGTATCAAGATATGTATCGAATCGTGACCTATGTATCGAGATATGTATCGAATCGTGGCCTGTGTATTGAGATATGTATATCGAATCGTGACCTATGTATCAAGATATGTATCGAATCGTGGCCTGTGTATCGAGATATGTATAAGATATGTATCGAATCGTGCCTATGTATCGAGATATGTATCAAGATATGTATCGAATCGTGGCTGTGTATGAGATATGTATCAAGATATGTATCGAATTGTGGCCTATGTATCGAGAAATGTATCGAATCGTGGCCTGTGTATGAGATATGTATCGAATCGTGGCCTATGTATCAAGTATGTATCGAATCTGTGTATTGAGATATGTATATCGATATGGATCGTGGCTATGTATCGAGATATGTATCGAATCGTGGCCTGTGTATTGAGATATGTATCAAGATATGTATCGAATCGTGGCCTATGTATCGAGATATGTATCGAATCGTGGTGTATTGAGATATGTATCAAGATATGTATCGAATCGTGGCCTATGTATCGAGATATGTATCGAATCGTGGCCTATGTATCGAGATATGTAACAGAAAAAAAAAATAAATAATAATTTAAAAAAACATATATACATACATTAAGACCCTCCCCCACCCTAAAACACACAAGTCACTCAATTTGAATTATGATTTCTACAAGTCAAAATGGCAACTAAATGTCTTTAAAGTCCTCAGGTTTTCCTTTAGATATGTAGCTCAGCTTCTCCAGTGCCAAATTACTACACATTAGTTTAATCCACTGATTTATTTTGGGCCTCTCCATTTCCTTCCAGTTGAGAGCAATTACATGTTTGGCCTGCAATAAACAAAAAACAACAAGCTTCTTTTTGTTTAGATTAACACTTTCTTGCTTTTTAAATATTCCTGACCCTAAAAATAAGTTATAATATTGTAATAATAATGTGTATTTTATGATTCTGTATTTATTATTCTGAATTGTGATTAAACTTTGTATTGTTTGTGTTTGTGTGCAGATGGTTACGCACTATATCCGTCATATTATTCCTCAACAAGCAGGACATGTTGGCAGAGAAAGTATTAGCTGGAAAATCCAAAATCGAAGACTACTTTCCTGAATATGCTCGCTACACCATACCAAATGAAGGTAAGTCTTTTCAAATACACATGTCGTAACGTTTAGAGCTTCGGGCTGATTGTCCCTGCGCTCTTTCCGTAGCCACCCCCGAACCCGGCGAGGACCCAAGAGTCACAAGAGCTAAGTTTTTCATCCGGGACGAGTTTCTTGTGAGTATTTTCGAAGTATTTCAAGTGCCTCGAATACAGAGAAGTACTGACATAGACATAGTTTTACATTTTCTTACGGTGAATCCAGTCTGGCATCTCTGTGGTTTCGCTGCAGGGAGGAATGACAAAGACTTACAGTATGTTAAATATGAACTGCGTATAAATGTGTACTGCATCACAGCTGACGCACTTTTGAAATAAGTAACCAACTAGAATGTACGCAATTCTGTAAGTAGGTCCTTCAGTTTAATCCACAGATTTGCGTCTGCACGTATATAAAATATGATTAACACTTCCAAACTTTGACCTCATTTTTCTCTACGTTTACTGCAGCTGGAGACACAATAACAAATTCTGAAGTGTGATATACTGCTGAAGTAAATGTAAACAAATGATAAACGATAATATTGAAACTATTTTATGGCACTGGCACAAAAACCCAAGAGCAGATTTAAACCACAAAAACTGTTCTTAAAGGTACAATATTGTTAAAAAATCATGAGTTGTAATAAATCAGGGGTGTCAAACTCAAATTCACAGAGGCTCAAAATTAAAAACTGGGACTAAGTCGTGGGCCAAACTAAATATTTATTGACAGGGTAGCTCCGGGGTCTTAAAAGTCTTAAAAAGGTCTTAAATTTCATGTTCCCAAATTAAGGCCTTAAAAAGTCTTAAATTATGTTGTCCAAGTCTTATTTTTTTCACAAAAATCTTAAATTTCATTAGCATTTTTTTGTATACTCAACCGAGCTGTAGTGCAGTGTTAAATGGAGGGAAGAAAACAAACAAAAAAAACAGAAAACGTGAAATCATGTAACATGAATGAACGTCTAATTTGGAGTATGTGCAAACAATACTTAGTTTGCCTTGTTAGAATGTTATAAATGATTTTTTGGCCATTTTACAAGCAGTTCATACTACTACAAACAGTGTTGGGGAGTAACAGATTACATGTACTGGAGTTACGTAATCAGAGTACAAATTATGAGTAACTGTTTTCAGTTACAGTTACTGTTTCAGTGAGTGGTAATTGGATTACAGTTACTTTGTTGAAATAAATGGATTACATGGCGGTATTTTCCTGTTTTCACATTATTTTTTATGTTTTTTTATTATTAATTTTTATTTTTTGGTAATTCCACTCATTGCTGGAAACTAAACCAGGTCTAAACCACAACTAAACCAGGTCTAAACTAGACCTAAACCAGGACTAAATCCAGGTCTAAACTAGACCTAAACCAGGACTAAAACCAGGTCTAAACTAGACCTAAACCAGGACTAAACCAGGACTAACCCAGGACTAAACTAGATCTAAACCAGGACTAAACCAGGATTAAACCAGGACTAAAACCAGGTCTAAACTAGACCTAAACCAGGACTAAAACCAGGTCTAAACTAGATCTAAACCAGGACTAAACCAGGACTAAAACCAGGTCTAAGCTAGATCTAAACCAGGACTAAAACCAGGCCTAAACTAGATCTAAACCAGGACTAAACCAGGACTGAACCAGGACTGAACCAGGACTAAAACCAGGTCTAAACCAGGACTAAAACCAGGTCTAAACTAGATCTAAACCAGGACTATACCAGGACTAAAACCAGGTCTAAACTAGACCTAAACTAGATCTAAACCAGGTCTAAACCAGGACTAAACCAGGACTAAAACCAGGTCTAAACTAGATCTAAACCAGGACTAAAACAGGATTTAACAGAATTTAACAGGACTAAACCATGCTGCGTGGACGTGTCTCCTCCTCTTCTATCAATAATATTTTTAATACAGTTACGTATCCTCATCTTTGCTTCTCTACAGCAAATCAAGTAATCCAAAGTATTCAGATTACGTTACTCACTTTAAGTAATTTAATGGATTACGTTACAAACTACATTTTGGGATATGTAATCTGTAACCTTCCCAACACTGACTATAAATGAGTTTTATAATGAAAGTATGTTTTGTTATTTAAAGCAGTGAGTAATGGTCATTAGAATTGGATCTGTGAGAGTCAATTTTAACACTCCACTTTTTGCTGTGTATGTTTATTACTTTATCTAAACGCTTTTTTTTTTTGTGTGTGTCTCGTGTCGCAGCGGATCAGCACTGCGAGTGGGGACGGCCGCCACTACTGCTACCCTCACTTCACCTGCGCCGTGGACACAGAGAACATCCGCCGCGTGTTCAACGACTGCAGAGACATCATACAGAGAATGCACCTGCGCCAGTACGAACTCTTGTGATGGACACGCCCCCTCTCCCCCCCGAGGCCCCGCCCCTCTCAACCCGACCCAACGCCCCGCCCCTCTCGACCCGACGCCCCCGTAAACCCCGCCCCTCTGACCTCTCACCTGCCCCGGGACGATGAAGTACTACTGAAGTGTGTCAAAATCCTCTTCTTAGCTTTTTCTACGTTTTTTCTCAATGATGACGGAATAGTTGGAGTTTTTGAAGACATTCGGGGAACAAGTTTGCCGTGTGCCGCTGGTTAATTTTTTTTTTTTTTCCATAAAACGCCTTGATTTTAAATGTCATTCCACTAAAAGAGCCTCGCGCTACCTCCTTAATTTTGCCCCTTTTGTGTCTTTTTCCTTTTCGTTTTTGTTTTTTTCATAATTTTAGTTTATTTTTCGACTTCCTTTGGACCTAATTTGTTGGGTGTGAAACTTGAAACCAACCGGACCTCATTGTAGAGGCTAGGCGTGCTATGAAGATGATTTTGTGTGAAAATGTCTGGCAACCTCCATAACGTTTCCCAATATATATTTTTGAAGGAGAAAGACAAACGTATGAAGATTTAAATGCACTTTGCTTCAGGTTCCTTAATAATTTCGTTTTTTTGAATTTTTCGTTTTGAATTTTTTTTTTTTTTTTTTTTTGTCCAGAGGAAGCATACACACACAATGTAGCATCACTATATTTATTAACCCTGGTGTTAACTCGAGGGGCGAACGGAGGAGAAATTTGTGGATTTTTTTGACTTTTTTTTTTTTTTTTTTGACAATTTTTTTTTTTTTTTTTTGAAGGATTATTATTATTCTAACGCGGGACTGAGTTTGCACCTTAGCCCCCCTCTCTACAAACTCCAAAAATACCACCCAACCCTTTCCGCTTTCAGACAGGAGGGACCACGAAGAGAAAGATGACGATTTTTGTTTTGTTTTTTTTTTCTTCTTTTTTTTGTTTAACTTGTACACTGTGCAAGGTTGGGTTATCCTGTACAGACTGTAAAATGTAATATTATTTTGTACAACCTGATTGAAAGAAAAACAAATCTACTTGTAGATCTTTGTGCCTTGAATATGGCTGTACTTGTAATATGAGCTCATGTAAGTATGTTTTTTTGACTGCGCTGTACAGCTTTGATGTCAACCTCTCTGCAGCCGACAATGACTGCGGGTGGGGCAATTTCTCTGTAGAAATTAGTTTTTTCTGGTTTATAAAAAAAAAAAAAAAAAACTGAAATCCTGTTTAGTAAAAAATAAAAAAATAGGGAAAACTCCTTAAAAACCTGTATACATTATGCAAAATTAACCACTTACCTGCAGTGAAGACAGCGCCATGCCTTTTTGTTTTCTTCTCTCTCTATTTTGGTTTGAACTCCTCCTTTCGTTTTATTTGACGATATTATTATAATGATTTGAACTTCACAGCTTTAAACAGACATTGGAAATCCATTGTTTTTTGATAGGATTTTTGCAGTATGCGTGAGGTGTATATAGAGACATAGGCATAGACGGTGCGTTTCTATGCCGGAGTGAGAGAGACTTTTCTTAATGTATGTACGTGTAAATTTATAGCTCTATTATAAATATTAATGTACAATTCAACCTGTTTAATTATGTGTGTGCCTATAGAATATGTATACAAGAAAACGTATGCATATGATAGGAAAGCATGTCTAGAGAATGGTGAACATGAGGGCGTGCAATATAACTACTAACCCTTTTCGGTCCTTTTTGGCGCCCTCTACTGGCACAGGCACTAAATGAATGTGTGAGCAGCACCGACTACAGCTCTTCTTCTTCTTCTTCTTGTTTTTCCTTCCTTCCCTCCCTCCCTGCCCTGCCCTGCCCCGTCCTTTCCCTTCCTGTGTACAAACAACATCAGCCTTTCTCTCTTCTCTTTCTCTCTTTCTGTCTCTTTCTCTTTCTCTCTTACGGCACGTCCACCCCCCCTACAGGCAGACAGAGTGAACTGACCAGGCCGATTACAAATGACATTTTTATTTTCTCTAAATAAAGAGGCACATTAGCGGACGTGGCTTCGTTTCCATTTTGGTGTCTATGTTTCTTTCTCTGATTTTTACAAATGTTATGGGATGAGCAGAGGTGGGGAGTAGGGTGCATCATTTGCCCAACTTTATGACAAATTTTTGAAAATCAATCTGTACCTAGTATCAGTTTTTTAAACTTCCATGAGAAATTTCTTGAAATTCTATTGATGTCTACTGGGTCCTTAAATCTGAGCTGAAAAATCAGTTTTTCTTTAATAGCATCAAAACATTTTTTTAATTTAGCTCTATAGTACCAGTGGAAGTTGAATAGAAATATGGACATTGTGGATCATTTGGTTCATTTTTTTGTCTCTATCATCATTAGTTTCTGAGATATGGCAAAAGTGTAATTTCTTTGGGACTTCAAAAATATTATATTATTTTAAAAATACATAATTTTTTAAAAGATATTAGTTATTTTTCTGCCAGAGCTTTATGGACACCTTTAGGATGGAACTTAAGAGGCTCGGTGGACCCAGTAGATTTTATTCAATTGAGGTAATATTCCACAGATTTTCTTTTATTTGGTATTGTCACATTTTTAAATTGGGTACAAGTTGAATTTCTGACATGAACTGAAAATGAAATGATGCACTCTAGTGGGAAGAGTAGATAAAAATCATAATAATAAAAAGTAAGAGAAATGTTATTTGAAAACATTCAAAGTTAAAGTGAAAATGATCCAAGTAAGAGTTTAAAAGTATTTGGGTGAAGTACTACTTAAGTAAGAGTAGATTAAAGATGCACTCTGTAACTTTTCTGGTGGAGGGTCCACCGTCTGCTTGTTTCCATGGAGATATTGTTGCTTAGTCTGGAATATCCCGGTATGGCATTAAACCTTTACTCAATAACAATGAGTTTTTACTGACTTAAAAACGTTTCTATTCTTACTGTGAGGAGTGGGCTCGCCGCTCCACACATCTGACATGTAACTTGGCCCTGCAGCATCACCTGTTGTCTCCATAGAGATAAACAAGTGTAATGCCATACTGTGGAACATTCCAGGCAACATCTTCATGGAGAGAAGCTGGTGACGAATCCTAGAGTAGTCGCAGTAGTAGTAGTGGTAATAGTAGTAATAGTAGTAGTAGCAGCAGCAGCAGTAGTAGTAGTAGTATTAGAAGTAGTAGTCCCTATCCTCTACCAGAAAAGTTACACAGAGCATCTTTAAGGAGTAACTGTGTACTTGTGACATAATATCTAGTTTATAAATAATTAAAATAATATTACTCAAGTAGAAGTACACAGTAGTGGTCCAAGAAATTACTCAAGAGTGAAAAAGTATTTGGGAAAAGTACTGCTCAAGTAAGAATAATTTAAACATAATTTAAAGGACAAAACATTAAATAAAAGACACAATCAGGTATTTTCAAAGAATTAGAACAACTAAATCATATCTGAAGGAGCGGTACAGGAAACACAAATCTTCAAATCATTTCATATTGTCACATAAAGATTTTGTCACTTTAGACTTACTCACAGTGGGAAGAGGAACCACAACTTTTACTGAAGGAAGAGTACTGTTACTTCAATAACAATATGACTCAAGTCGGAGTAAAGAAATGCTTGTACTCTGAAAAGTAGAGTACTGCCCACCTCTGAATATGACCATGGTTACGAAATATCTTAAAGGTTTGGTTCATATGATTATCCAGGTGAAGTGAAACCAGCTGATGAATCATATAATATCACAACATTGTAGATCCCTATAGTTTAAATAGGAGGACAGGTCAGAATTCTATGGTAAAATTTGCTCCACTGTGTTTTTAAACTCCACACACCTTCACTAGAATGATTTGGGACCATTTCAGCCCTGGAACTGTCGATCTTCACTGAACATGAGGTAAAAAGGAGCTGATAACTTGAGAACTACAACTTCATGACATCACAAGGTGGATCAGAGCAAACAAAACACAACTCCAGGTCTGTTTTTGAGAAGGTAACAACATTATAACACATCTCACAAGAGTCAGTTTGGTGTAATATTGGACCTTTAAAACATTAGAACACAACCAAAACTTAATGTACAGTATGTAACATTTTAGTGGAGGGTTTTCTACAATTGTGTTTCTTATAGAATGTTCCACAGTATGGCATTAAACTTATCTATCGCTACTGAGACGAGCAGGACATCACGTCTCCATCAAGATAAGCAAGTGGAGGAGAAAAGTTCCACAGTGATCCTTTAAGAGGCTATTTTCAGATCGTTGGGGATTCAAGTTGGGTTCACAGTTGCACTACCTGAACTAGACCAGGACTAAACCAGGACTAGAACAGGACTAAACTAGGACTAGAACAGGACTAAATTAGGACTAAATCAGGACTAGACTGGGACTAAATCAGGACTAGAACAGGACTAAGCCAGAACTAAATCAGGACTAGAACAGGACTAAACCAAGGCTAAATCAGGACTAAACCAGGACTATACCAAGACTAGACCAGGACTAAATCAGGACTAAACTAGGACTAGAACAGGACTAAACCAGGACTAAATCAGGACTAGAACAGGACTAATCCAGGACTATACCAGGACTAGACCAGGACTAAATCAGGACTAAACTAGAATTAGAACATAACTAAACTAGGACTACACCAGGACTAAATCAGGACTAGAACAGGACTAAATCAGGACTAAACTAGGACTAGAACAGGACTAAACCATCACTAAATCAGGACTAGACCAGGACTAAATCGGGACTAAACCAGAATTAGAATATAACTAAACTAGGACTAGACCGGGACTAAATCAGGACTAGAACAGGACTAAATCAGGACTAAACTAGGACTAGAACAGGACTAAACCAGGACTAGAACAGGACTAATCCAGGACTATACCAGGACTAGATCAGGACTAAATCGGGACTAAACCAGAATTAGAATATAACTAAACTAGGACTAGACCGGGACTAAATCAGGACTAGAACAGGACTAAACCAGGACTAAACCATGACTAGACCAGGATTAGATCAGGACTAAACCAGAATTAGAACATGACTAAACTAGGATTTTTGACCATGCTTTGAAGATGTGTTGCTTGGAGAAACTTTGATAAAACCTTCTTCAGATGTGATGGGGCTGTCACACCTTGACGATTTAGCCAGCCTATGCTGACGTATAAAAAATTTGGCCAATATGCTGTCGTACGTCGGATACGTTCTAGGTAAGTACTGTATAAGTTCTGAACACGCTGAATCACGCTGGCATACGGCGACATACAGCAAGATTGTCAAAAAATTTTGAGCTTGCTGAAAATTTCATACGTTTCATATATGTTTCATATATTTTTCACAAATATTTGAAAACGTAGCTATAAAAAAAGCACAAGAAAGTATTTTTGGTAGAGACACTATCTCCATGGAAACAAGCAGGTGATGGTCCCCCAACCAAAAAGCTACATAGTGCACCTTTAAGTAAAAGTTAAAAGGTAAAGAGTTATTCAAGTAAAAGTAATCATTAGTATCACATGAAAAAAATCCACTTAAGTAAAAGAATTTAAGTACTTGTTTAAAATGTACTTTGAGATTAAAAATTATAAAGTATTTTACACAAGTGTTCGGTACATATACACATATTCATAGCAACTACCGTATTTTTCGGACTATAAGTTGTACTTTTTTCATGTTTTGAGTGGTCCTGCGACCTATACTCCGGTACGACTTATGTATTAACATTTTTAGACTGACAGCCACAAGAGGCTCTCGGCTTCTGTATCAGTTTTCTGTCTCCTGCAGAAAAAGTCCTGGTGAAATATTCAGCAGAAAATGATAATCAAGCAGCCGAAAGAAAGTTTAGAATGAGCAAGAAACTTGTGAGGGACTGATGGAAAGCGGGGATGGAGAACACAGCTTCACAGCAACCAGGTGCGTCATACAATATTCATGAAAGTCACTGGATGGATCGACAAAGCCTGGACTTCAGTGACAAATGAAGTTGTGCGGAGTTGCTCAGAAGTGACACCGAGGATGAAGAATTAAATGGATTTAGTGATTTGAAGTGAGATGGAGAGTTTGGTAAACTTGTTCTGTTCTGTTGTTTATGCTATAGTTATCTGAAGAACTGTTCATATGTGACGTTAACATACCACACTGTTGTTCTTTTATTCTATTGTTGTTACTATAATTTGCCTTTCAAAATTTCTCCTAAAAAGTCCAGAGCAACTTATAGCCCAAAAAATACAGTAATCAGCTTCTTAATTTTTCTTAGGAATTTTGTGTATTTATTTATGGAGTGAAGTAAAAAGTACAGATACCTACTTTCAAATGTAGTGAAGTAATAGTAAAAAGTACCTACTGTACCAATACGGTAAAGTACAGATACCTAAAAATTCAACTCAAGTACGGTATTTACTACTTGTACTTTGTGACCTTCAACCACTGAGTTTCGATATTAGTTTTAGTACTTTTTTGGTACTTTTGACAACCGTACGTACAAACACCACAATACACAAAGGTGAAGAGTCATATTTATTTCATTATGTACATTTGATCTGAAACACCTGAACAATTCTCAAAATAAAAACATTCACATAAAAACAGCTGGCACTAGCCTGACCAGCCAGACCCTCCCAATTCACAGCTTTAAAAAGAACGGTTAGCTTCATAGCAGTTAGCCTTTTTCGCTAAATGCTAAACTGCTGCTAATGGCTAATTTTCGGCTAAATTGTGAATAAATTATGATAATTCTATATTTTATTAAATTGTATCGGCACAATACAGGTAAGAAGTCTGCGGCATACTAATTAGAAAGTGCTTTACTGTCAGAGAATCAATAAGTGGGCTGTTAGCATGCTAGCTGTTGTGCTCTTTAGCCTCTGAAAGTTGTGAAAAGTGCTTATAAACTCATCGTAAACAGTAATTAAGTTGCGCAGAATACATAAAGTAAGCGAGAATCTGTTTTTCATACTTTTAAGACAGTAAAAATCACAAGAAGATTTGAATTCAGAATATTTTGATTATTTCAGAGCTAAAGTACAATTTATTTTCGTAAACATTCCATAAGTTTTAATACTGATTTCAAGGATAAAAATTACAATTCGCAAAAAAGATAAAAGCTGCTTGCGTTTCCGTTTTGTGCTTTGGTTCTGAGGCCAATCGTCCAATCAGAAAGCGGAATGAGACAGACTTCCCTCACCCCAGACGCTTCCTCCAGCTCCTCTGGTGAAGAAGACATCGTAAAGAGATGAAAATTGTGAACGAAAGTCTTTTCACTCGCGTACGCAATCACTTTTCGCAGCGCTGTGCTCATTCTTAAAGGTGCATTGTGTAACTTTTCTGATGCTTGTTTCTATGAAGATATCATTGCTCTGCCTGGAATGTTCCGCAGTATGACATCAAACAGATTTACCTTACATTCATTCACTTACAGCTGGAGTTACAGCTCAAAAATACGTAGAAAAACAGGTATTCCGATCATGAGCGGGATCGCCTCTCCACAGATCTGACCCTTAACTTGGTCTGGTTTGGTTTCCATGGAGAAAAGCATTTGACGGTAGAGGTGGGACCAAGTCGTTGTCTCGCAAGTCCCACCTCTGCTTGACGGACCCTCCACCAGAAAAGTTACACAATACACCTTTATTTGTAGTGTTGTAGCAAGTATTTGGAGTGGCTGGCCAGGCTACTTTGGCACAGAAATTCAGTGATAAACATATTTTTGATGCTTCTTAAAAACAGTAATGTCAAAAATCACATTGTGGTTTCGAGAAAGAAGAAGTGCTTTTACAAGAACAACATTAGAAACAAGAGACGTGACCCATCAACACCAGATCAACTGCTCAGAGAATGAAAGGCCATTGTAATGGAGTTAAAGACGCACCGTGGGACTTTTCCGCCACCTGGTATGGCATTAAACTGATCTGTCGCCATGGAAACTGGAGTAAGAATGCAGGTTTTTGAAGATATTTTTGAGAAATAAAGAAAAGCGATAACATTTATACCGACAAGTGGCAAAAACTCCACCAGTAAAGTAACATAGCGTACCTAAATAAATATTACTGAAGTAAAAGTACGAGATAATGGTTAAAGAGGGGGTATTTTAAGTATTAACTGCAAACACATAACATATTTAGATCACTAGGGGTGTGCAAAAACATTGAAATATCGATATATAGTATTGTTTAATGTGATGATACAGAATTGATTCACTGTATTGACGATTAAAATGTTTGTGTTTCATATTATTTTTGCCCAAAGAGTGGTTTAACAAAGACGATTTAGTCTTTATTTTTATTAAACTGTATTAAATCAAACTGAAATATACCGTATTGAATCGTGTCGAATCTGAAGCTCACTGTATCGAGATATTTATCGTATCGTGGTCTATGTATCGAGTAGGGATGTAACAATAAACAGAAATATCGTGATATTGTATTGTTAGAGTTCTCACAATAATATCGTGGACCATCACAATATATCGAATTAAATGTCTTTTTGCTTAAATGAAGAGTTATGGTGCAGCAATAGCTAAAAAAAAAAAAAAAAAAAGACAGGGAACTACATAGACCATGATCCTTTGCTCTATTTCAATGCAGACTACAAGAAGAAATAACAGTTCTAAGCTCTTTTAAGTCTTAGTTCTTTGGATTAAGTCTTGTCAAGGCATTTTAAGAGGAAAAAGTGGCATATTAACAGTTTTAGCCTCCACAAAATATTGCAATAAATATCGTACTGTGAGATGTATATCGTGAAAATATTGTACTGAGAGATTTGGATATTGTTACGTCCCTTATCATGAGCCTTCCCACCATATCGTGGGCTTTCCCACGATATCGCAATAAATATCGTACAGTGAGGTTCATACCGCAACGATATTGTATCGTGAGACTTGGATATCATTACACCCCTAGAATCTTACAGCTAAAAGTAAATAGGGCCAGTCAGAGATCACTATATTACTCAAACATGCATAGATGACATTGAAAATTACTTCAGGCATGTTTCTGATGAGGGAACAACATTATAACATGAAAGATGATACCCCCTCGTTAAATAAATAACTAAAGTAAAATAAAATAAATAAATAAATAAATAAATTGGGTTTGTTAACATTTAAATTGCATATTATATTACATTCATTGCTGGAAAAGGGTTTTGGTGCAAACTAAGTCACACCTAGAAAACATTAAGTGATTTAAATGCTATTTTTTCCCAGCTATAATTCCTCTAATTCATCCTCTATTTTTTTTACAATAAAGTTTCATTCTCTGAGCAGTCCTCGTGTATGTACAGTACCTGCAGATTTGAAGTGTGCATTTGTAAAAGTGATCTGAACTCTCCACTGTTTTCGCCGTCGACCGTCCCTTTTAAATTCGCTCAGAACAAGCTCCACTCGTCCGAAACATCCCCGGTGAAGATATCCAGCGCTCCTCAGAAGAACCGCTTGGCTTCACAGTGGTGCAATTCCTCCAGTTTAAAAGCAGTGGCGTGGGTTTGATGCGGTGAAGTCTGTAAGCCTCTTTGAAAAGTCCCGTTAAAGACTCACTCTGTAATTTTTTCCGGCCGAGGGTCAGTCACTTTATAGTGTCTTTACCGATGTTATTGCTTTGCCTGGAATGTTCCACAGTATAGCATTAAATTCGCTCTCCATTAAGATTGTCAAAAAGTATCAAAAAATGTACAGTGATTGATACTAAAATGAATTGAAACTAGATACAAGAGGTGGGTAGAGTAGCAAAAATTGTCCTCAAGTAAGAGTAACGTTACTTCAAAATAATACTACTCAAGTCGAAGTACAAAGTAGTGGCCAAGTAATTAAAAATATTAGTAAAAAAGAATTTGAGAAAAGTACGACTTAAGTAAGTAACTGTCAGGACTAAAATCAGCAGCGCAAGAAACGTAAATATTCAAAAATAATGTCATATTGTCAGCATAAAACTTTTGTCAGAGTACTCTTACTTCAATACGAATATTACTCAATTTTAGTGCCATGACAACTCTAATCTCCATGGAGACAAGCAGTTACAGGTCAAATCTGCGGGAGGCGAGCCAACTCACAGTAAGACAGTACAGAAGATATTTTTGAGCTATATAACAGGGATGTAACAATAACCGAAATATCGTGATATCGTATCGTTAAAGTTCTCTCAATAATATCGTGGACCATCACAATATATCGAATTACAAGTCTCTTTGCTTAAATTAAGAGTTACGGTGCAGCAATAGCTAAAAAAAAGACAGCGGGAACTACATAGACCATGATCCTTTGCTCCATTTCAGTGTAGACTACATGAAGAAATAACAGTTCTAAGCACTTTTAAGTCTTAGTTCTTTGGATTAAGTCTTGTCAAGGCATTTTATTCAGTTTTGTTTGTAAGCCTCCACAAAATATTGGAGTAAATATCATACCGTGAGATGTATATCACGAAAATATCGTACAGAGAGATTTGGATATTGTTACATCCCTAATCGTGAGCCTTAACACCATATCGTGAGCTTTTCCACGATATTGCAATAAATATCGTTCCGTGAGATTCATACCGTGACGTGAGACTTGAATATCGTTACACCCCTGCTATATAAGCATCTGTATGTGAATAGATATATACTGCAAAATCGACCTCTATAGTGCCGTACTGTGGAACATTCCAAGCAAAGCAATGTCATTTCCACAGGGACTTGAAGCTTGTAGTGGACCTCCAACCAGAAAAGCTACATAGTGCACCTTTAATATCACCTAAAACTGAGAAACATCTCTAGTCCATGTTCTTCCAAACTGTCGACTGCAAGTTTTCTTCCGTAAGTCTCTAGGTGTAGCGCCCCTAGAGGCCACAAGTGTCACTGCACTGTCAAAAGTGTTCCAAATAGTCCAGCAAAATCTGTTAAAAGTTCAATTGTCCGTCCTGTGACTTTTCATGTTAAAGAGCCCATATTATGCTGTTTTCGGATCTGTGTTTTAATGTTGTTTCCTCATCGCAAACAGACCTGGAGTAGTGTTTTTGTTTCATTCACACATAGAATATTTAACACACAAACTCTGCATATTTAGGCTGTGCTTTTCTCTCAAACAGAAGGCGCTCCACTGCTCTGGAATTACCAAATTACCTGAAGATAAAAGGCAGCTGCTAACTTGTATACTGGTCCAAAGCAAGAAAAACGATCTGACGAAGTCTTTTGGCCGAAACGTTATTTGAAAATAATTGTCCATCTGAGTTTGCTATGCATTTTTTTCTCACTTTTAAATTGCTGCTCCTTGAATTTGCACCTTTATAAAAACTTTAGCATGTGTTTTCTGTTTCATTTGAGCTGTTAACTTGATAACATCTCAAGGTAGAACAGCGAATTTTGAGAATTTTGACGCAGAATGACGAATAAAAAAGGATTACTCAAATGTGTGAATGAAACATAACAACTCGGGTATGTTTTTGATGAGGAAATAATGTTATAACATGGCTTAATTTAGCGTAATATTGGACCTTTAAGCTGCAACATTTGTAGATTAGTGAACGCAAACTATTCACTGATGGCACGTCAAATCAAAAGACCGAACTTCTCTGTGGGTAATACAATGTAAAAGGCATTCTGACTTGCCAGGCTAGTCGCAGTACGGGTTCAGAGATTGTAAATAGTGTAGTCCGGGTGGCTTGTGGGTATTGTAGTCCAGGCTCCAGGTGGCTTGTGGGTGTTGTAGTTCAGAGGGACTTGTGTTTGCCCAGCAGACACAGACTTAGACACTGGAGCAGGCCCTTCAGACAGAGGCAGTGCAGCAGGAGCAGGAGGAGCAGGCAGGCTCCGGCCGAGCAGTACACCCCGATCACGGTGCTTTCCTCCGGGAGAAAACACTTGGACAGAGAGTGGTGCTGGGACGTCACCGAGGCCTGGGGACGAGAGACACAACACAGTAAATATAACGTAACATAAATACCTCCACTACCACTCAAAAGTTTGGACACACCTTCTCATATGTTGTCTTTTTTCTTTATATTTAATGATTTCTACATTTTAGATACATACGGAAGACATGTGAAGTAAGATACCGTATTTTCCGCACTATTAGGCGCTCTGGATTATAAGGTGTACTGTCATAGAATGGTCTATTTTCAAACTTTTTTCATAAATAAACGGCACCGGACTTTAAATGAAACACAACAGTTGGATGGGTCAGTGGGACTTTGTTTGTTCGTTCACGGTGACTCTGGGCTTTGTTCAGTTGTGGCGTGTAGGGAGGGTGCTGTCTGGGACCGCTGGATTGTCGGCGTGTTCGCAGTGACTCAGTTGTTCAGTTGTGGTTAGAAGTGGCACATTGCACTCGCTTTTTCGGTTCGTTCTTCCGTTCCGTTCCTCGTCGGCGTGGAGTGATGAGTGTGGCTGCGGGTGTTTTTCGCTGCGCGGTGGCTGTCTGCTCCGTGTGTGTTTGCGTGTGCTGCGGCTGGTGTGGCTTTGTATTTTACTGAAGTCGTGCTGGGACACTCGAGTGGATTCATATATAGGGCGCTCTAGACTGTGGGGCGCGCAGTTGTTTTTTGATGGGGTTGGAGGCCTAAGAGTGCGCCTAATAGTGCGGAAAATACGGTATATGGAATTATGTGGAAAATGAAAAGAAATTTTAAAACTCAACTAAATATTTTTTATAGATGGGGGAGCGGGTTAATATGAACATTTTAAAACCAAAATGACAATGTTCAAAGCAGCAGTTATTGAGAGAGGGATGACAGTTTGTTAGGGGTGTAAAGGTACATGTATTTTTGCCAAACCGTTTCAGTACGGGACGTTTGGATCAGTGCAGGGTTGTGTACGAGTGAATTTGCGCAATTTGTGTGTGTTTACATTCCGCAACTACATGTGCAGCTACACGGAAAGGTCGGCTCTTTAATATTCACAAGGGAACTTAGCCGTGATTGGGGTGGCAGTGTTTCCTCCAACGATTTACAGTTAGGGCAGCTGCTTTGACCACAATTGCCCTCCGCCTTGACTACGTCCCTCCAAACCACACGAATCCTCGCCAAACTACGGTCATCGCGCTCGGTCCTCACTTTTGCCTTTCGCCTGCACGGAATCTCCGCCCCCCAACTGTCAGCAGATCTGCACTTGGACAAGTGTGACAAGACAATGTGGATAAGTTGGTTTTTCTGGTCAAAAATATGAAGATTGAGTAAAACTTCATGCTGGAACTGTTAGTGCTGCATTTCTCTCTCTCTCTCAAAAATAAAAATAATAATACGCAAAACTTTCAAAGTGAAAATAAATTCAAGCTACAAACATGAACCTTAGAGCAGTTTTGCGATATATAAAATGTAAAATGAATAAAATATACTTTGAACATGAAATAAGTCATAGAAAAACATAAATGTATCAAAAAAAAAAAAAAAAATACACATATTTGTATAAAAATATCCCAAAATAAACGTTAAACTTTAAATCGTTTCAACTTGATTATATGAGTTTGGAGATCGTTTGATACACAAATTGAAATCACGATCAAAATTCGATTAATTGCACAGCCTTAATATTACTTGAGTAGAAGTACTAAGTAGTGGTTCAAAAAATAAAAAAAAAAAGTGTCTGGGTACTACATAAGTAACAATAACTTAAAGTCAATTTGTTACAGGTTAGTTTGAGGAGGGGCGACCCCACTCACAGTCAGAATGCCTGTTTTTCTAGGTATTTTTGTGCATAAACCCACCTGTGACTGAATAAATGTAAGGTAGAGCTGTTTAAAGTCATACTGTGGAACATTTCAGGCAGAGCAATGACATCTTCGGAGAAACAAGCAAGTGACTGACCCCCAGTTAAAAAGTTACACAGTGCACTTAAAGAGTAACTGTCTGGACTAAAATCATATCTTGTTGAACCTATTATTTACAAGTTCAGCATTTGTGGATCATAAGTTTGTATATTTCACAAACATCTGAAATAATCACGACATCAAATTCTAAAACGTCAACACAACCTCTTGAATGGACCCTCACCAGGATGAAGCTGGGGTTGTTCCTGTTCCTCCAGCTGAACGACGGGACGCTGATCTCCACGTATTTGTTTTCATGAAGCACCTCGCAGCCGCTGTGGGTGTGGCCACTGAGAATGAGGCGGGGCCGGAACCACTGCAGCAGCTGGTTGGACGAGAGACGGTCACATGATCAACGCTCGGGAGATGATCGTGGGGTAACAGCAAGATTCACATGTTAAGGGACAGTGATGGTGGCACAGACATGATATTGTTGTGTCAAAAGCGTCGACAATCAGATAATAATCGATCCTAAACTTAGAATCGAAACTACATACTGATTTGAGCAGGGATCGATACTAAAAACATCACAATCCATCTGAATTAGTACTGAAAATCCAAAAGTATCCTCTATTAATAAGCTCTCGATCAGTTTTCTCAACAGCAAATTCTCTGCCCATCTGCCCTCCTCCTCTGCTCTTCAACGTCTTTCACTATATCCATGAATCTTCCTCTAGGCTCCCTATTTCCTGATATATCTTATCTGGCATATATAATTTTAATCTGTTCCTCCTCTGTCCCTCCTCTGTACCTTATATTCACTGTTCCTCCTCTGTACCTTATTTTATCTGTTCCTCCTCTGTACCTTATATTCACTGTTCCTCCTCTGTACCTTATTTTATCTGTTCCTCCTCTGTACCTTATATTCACTGTTCATCCTCTGTACCTTATATTCACTGTTCATCCTCTGTACCTTATATTCACTGTTCATCCTCTGTACCTTATATTCACTGTTCATCCTCTGTACCTTATATTCACTGTTCATCCTCTGCACCATATTTCCACTGTTCATCCTCTGTACCTCTTCTGTACCTTATATTCACTGTTCCTCCTCTGTACCTTATATCCACTGTTCATCCTCTGCATCATATATTCACTGTTCCTCCTCTGTACCTTATATTCACTGTTCATCCTCTGCACCATATATCCACTGTTCCTCCTCTGTACCTCTTCTGTACCTTATATCCACTGTTCCTCCTCTGTACCTTATATTCACTGTTCCTCCTCTGTACCTTATATTCACTGTTCCTCCTCTGTACCTTATATTCACTGTTCCTCCTCTGTACCTTATATTCACTGTTCCTCCTCTGTACCTTATATTCACTGTTCCTCCTCTGTACCTTATATTCACTGTTCCTCCTCTGTACCTTATTTTATCTGTTCCTCCTCTGTACCTTATATCCACTGTCCTCTGTACCTTATATCACTGTTCCTCCTCTGTACCTTATATTCACTGTTCCTCCTCTGTACCTTATATTCACTGTTCCTCCTCTGTACCTTTTATTCACTGTTCCTCCTCTGTATCATATATTCACTGTTCCTCCTCTGTACCTTATATTCACTGTTCCTCCTCTGTACCTTATTTTATCTGTTCCTCCTCTGTACCTTATATTCACTGTTCCTCCTCTGTACCTTATATCCACTGTTCCTCCTCTGTACCTTATATCCACTGTTCCTCCTCTGTACCATATATTCACTGTTCCTCCTCTGTACCTTATATTCACTGTTCATCCTCTGTACCATATATCCACTGTTCCTCCTCTGTACCTTATTTTATCTGTTCCTCCTCTGTACCTTATATTCACTGTTCCTCCTCTGTACCTTATATTCACTGTTCCTCCTCTGTACCATATATTCACTGTTCCTCCTCTGTACCTTATATTCACTGTTCATCCTCTATACCATATATTCACTGTTCATCCTCTGTTCCTCCTCTGTACCTTATATTCACTGTTCCTCCTCTGTACCTTATTTTATCTGTTCCTCCTCTGTACCTTATATTCACTGTTCCTCCTCTGTACCTTATATTCACTGTTCCTCCTCTGTACCATATATTCACTGTTCCTCCTCTGTACCTTATATATCACTGTTCATCCTCTATACCATATATTCACTGTTCATCCTCTGTTCCTCCTCTGTACCATATATTCACTGTTCCTCCTCTGTACCTTATATTCACTGTTCCTCCTCTGTACCATATATTCACTGTTCCTCCTCTGTACCTTATATTCACTGTTCCTCCTCTGTACCTCCTCTGTACCTTATATCACTGTTCCTCCTCTGTTCCTCCTCTGTACCTTATATCACTGTTCCTTCCTCTGTACCTTATATTCACTGTTCCTCCTCTGTACCTATATTCACTGTTCTCTCTGTACCTCTTCTGTACCTTATATTCACTGTTCCTCCTCTGTACCTCCTCTGTACCTTATATCCACTGTTCTTCCTCTGTACCTTATATTCACTGTTCCTCCTCTGTACCTTATATTCACTGTTCCTCCTCTGTACCTCTTCTGTACCTTATATTCACTGTTCCTCCTCTGTTCCTCCTCTGTACCTTATATTCACTGTTCCTCCTCTGTACCATATATTCTCTGTCCCTCCAAACATTCCTAAGTATTCATTTAAGATCTATTATCGTTCTTAATCTCTTGTTACTGACCCTCTGTGACGCCTCCTTGGACAGGACGTCGTACTTCTCTCTGAACAGCAGGTGGCGCTCTTCGGCCGGAGCAGCGTCCTGACCTGTGCAGCTGGCATCGCTCACTCTGTACAGGGGGTAGTGCTGCATAGACACACACACAAACACACAAAACGCACACAAACACACACAGGTTTATTATATTCAAAGTGCAATACAGTAATCCTATATAAAGTAATAAAAAATTCTAGTCTAAAAGGTTTTTGTATTATGTAAAATTGACTAATGCTGTTACCTCATCAAAAAAAATGCCTGGAGTTGTGTTTTGTTTCATTCACATGTTTGAGTAATCGTTTATTATTACTCTGTCTACGTCTCTGAAGCTCTGTTGCACCTTGTGATGTCATGAAGCAGTCATTTTCAAGATAATTATTAAACAAATTTTAACATGACAACAAAGATTACACTATTACTAAACCAAAATCAGAATAAAGACACAAGCAAGTCTAAGTGTCTGGCTTTTTTATTTAAAATTTTTGATTCCAGATTTTTTTTTTTATGAGAATTGATTAATTTGAAGTTTGCAGACTTTCAGAATTAATCAAATCTATTTACCTTCGATAGATCTTACCCAAATTGTTTGAAAGCTGACTATAATAATATATATTTTTTTATTCAGCACTTTAAATTTCATTGGACTCAAATATTTAACTTAATAGTAATATGAATATATAAATAGTAATCACATAGACATTTCACTGTTTCAAAAATCTCTAGCCTGAAGCAATACAAAACAACCCTAGAAGCAATAACATCTCCATGGAGACAAGTAGGTGCATCCCTCCTCCAGAAAAGTTACATAATGCACTTTTAAAATAAAGGGAGTAATTCAATATAACCGAATCTATTTATTGCTCTGATAAGTATTGGAACACGTTCTCCTCGGAGCTGTTTGGAGGAGACGCAGTTCCTTGGCGTGTATACTTGTTGTACTTTGTGCGTTTGGACAAAGGACGGTGCAGATTGCTGTAGTGGGCACAGAGTTTGTGAGATTCAGACAGAGACAGACTTTGGCATTTTAAACCTGAATGGACTCCAAACCTGCTTAGTTTTACTGAGAAATAAGCCACCGCCATTTTAGCTCAGTTGGAGAACAGTGTTTTGGTCATTTATAAAGTGGAAATAAACATTAAATCTACTGTGTATACTAGGGGTTTTCAGACTGGGTGAATGTGAGCCTCCCCTTAGAGTAAGTAAAAACAACCGAGGCCTTTGAAGTAAATGCATCTTTTATGTTACTGCGATGAAGAATTTCAATAACAACGGATAATATATTTTTTTAATATTGTATTTTCATATATATATGCAGTGCATTCATAAACTTTCCAACTTCATGCAGGCCTAATTGAGGCTACTTTTACATCACTGAACAACAACAGGACTAAACCAGGACTAAACCAGGATTAAACCAGGTCTAAACCAGGTCTAAACCAGGTCTAAACCAGGATTAAACCAGGTCTAAATCAGGTCTAAAAGAGGATTAAACCAGGTCTAAACCAGGTCTAAACCAGGATTAAACCAGGTCTAAATCAGGTCTAAAAGAGGATTAAACCAGGTCTAAACCAGGTCTAAACCAGGTCTAAACCAGGTCTAAACCAGGTCTAAACCAGGACTAAATCAGGACTAATCTTGGACTTGAGAGAGAGAGCGAGGGGAGAACTGAGCCTGTGGAGCAGGGTATCCACAAATCGCAATCGGGCGACAGCTGTGCTTAGCCCTATTGGGCGCGAAGCTCTGCACTAGTACTTTCGCCTGCAGTCACCCTACAGTCTATACGGGTGCACCTCCATAGCCATTCCTACACTCAGTCCTGGTTCAGTCCTGGTTCAGTTCTGGTTCAGTTCTGGTTTAGTGCTGGTTTACTCCTGTTTTAGTCCTAGTTCAGTCCTGGGATCAGTCCTAGTTTAGTCCTCCTGGTTAGGTCCTGGTTTAAACTGCATGTGTCATGCCTCGCCAGTGGCTCTTTGGTATCCCCCAGGGGATGTTATAATGTTGTTACCTTCATTCACATGTTTGAGTAATCCTGTATTATTAGTAATTATTAGTTTGAGAGTAAGTGTAAATATGCTGAGTTTGTGTGTTAAACATGTGTGAATGACGAGGAAACATCATTAAAACGTAGATCAGAAAGTAGTGTAATATGGGGCCTTTAATAACTTTCTTAGTCCCTTTTTGGCAACATTATTGCTGAATGGTGTTCAAAAACAACCAAAAACTGAGTGTGTGCTGACATCACACAGGACTGCCCCGATTACAGCCAGGTGTTTGTAATCAGTAACTAACAGTGTTACTTCCTGGTTCGTAGATGATAAAAACGCTTTAATAGCTTGACCTAGACGCAGAGACAGCACACAAACTAATTTTACTTTTATTACATGACAAAAATGTGTGTGAACATTTTCTGAATGTTTCTGGGCTCTTACCTGTAACATGATTGGAGGAGTGGGCGGGTACATCTGAGCCCCGTCACAGCCGTCCGTCAAACTGCCGCCGCTACTGCCCCCTGTCTGTGAACTCTGCACGAAACACACACACAAAAAACAGGTCAAACAAAAGTTAAAGTACTGGTGCCAAATCAGTTTTAATGTTGAAAACTGGTATTGGAACTGTATTTTACCCCTTATTCCTGTTTCAGCTTTGTGTTTATAACATTTTAATGCCTTTTGACCCTAATATTTTGTTTTGAAGATGTTAATTTCTACTAATACTTTGCATTGACATCGTGCTGGGGGGTTCTACATGTATGTTTATATAGAGAAATGTTCAGTAGTTACAATGGAGACATATTAGCAAACATAGTCAAAAAAGTTTTAAGATTGTCTGTAAAGAAAATATACAAAATGGATTTAAACAGCGCCTGTTTTGAAGGTGAGAGTGACTAACTGAAAAACTGTTGGCTAATGTTAGGTCCCTTGTGAATTTAAGTGAATTTAATGTGCGAGAGACTTTTTTTAACAGCACAAACCATCTCACCTGCTGTAGCTCCAACCAAGTGAGCTCTTTCTGGTCTGATTGTGTTAAAACAAAGCTTAAATTAAAGTCTAATTTGAGTAAAAGAGCTTCTAACAGAGTAGTGCTTACAGTTAGTATCACGGGTGAGTGCCTATGTCCCTCAGCCGTATGTTCTTTCATTTCTAAGTTTAGTTTTTTTTCTTTCCAAAACTGGGCCCTTTGTTCTCACATTTCCTTTATCTTCAATTTGCCTCAGATTTTATTCAGATTTCTCTCACTTTGGTCGTCAATTACACCCAGTCTATTCCCCAGCAGCAGTTGACTACAGATGTAATGTAGAGTAGAGCCCTGCACTCTGGACCCGCGGGACCTGACGCAAAACAGTGCGGCGCGGGACACATGGGCGGGTGTGATGATAAACTGCAGTCCCGCAAACTAAATATGAGTGTAAAGTAAAATATACAAATGATTAATGTTTGCCTATCATACATCATTTGTGCTGGATATTTTATTTGACATTAATAAGAACATTTTAAGCAGCCTAAACTTATGGACGTGGTCTAATCTCACGCACATTTTAGACAATTCCTTTCTGCTTTTCAGAGTTCGATAGAGCTTAAGAAAGCGAACGTCCCCATCCTGTGGGATTTGCGGGTGGGAATGGGACAAAGTATAGCAGATATGGGCGGGAGCGAGACTGAAAATTACGATTCTTTGCAGACGGGAGCGGGCAGGAGGACTGAAAATTCTGTCCCACGCAGACCTGTAATGTAGAGATCATGGTGCAAAGGATCCTAGGTTGAAATGACTTTGAATCATCCCTTTAAATGCAGGATAAAAATCTTAGAAATAGGAAAAATCTTAGAAATGAGGGAACATAGGGCTGACCCCAGTATCACACCCCCAGGGAATGATGACAGCAGCTACAAAATATCAATAGAATGTGATTTTCAAGATTAAACTGTAGTACTTTTTTTTATATTACATGCGGTTTTATATCTGTGTAATCCTTCAGTGGTCCAGGTAGGTTCCATAGTGGTCCATGAGCGTGTACTAGTCCAGTGTTTCCCAAAATGTTTTTGTGGGGACCCATATTTTTAAAGTCACAAATCTTCACATCCCAAGTCAACAGACATTATTCGTAAATCTCAGAATAAATCTGTGACCATTATTGAACATTAATGAGGATATTTTATTGTTGACTGAGTGATCGTGTCTCTCTGAACAATTCATATTACTAAAATTTTAAACAATGAAAAACAGTAATCAGTGTTTCCCACAGAAAATTTATTAGGCAAGGTGGTGCTGCCAAAAAAAGAGAGGAGCGCCGGGAAGAAAGGAGTGAGGAGCGGACGTGCATGGAGATGTTTGTATATGTATATTACAGACCTACATGCACATCGTGACAAGGCGATATTAAAGAAATCTCTTGTGACCCAGTCTTTCGGAAACAATGTACTAGTCTATGTGCTCTTATACTTGTTCTGATACAGCTCAAAATCATTCTAAAGCGATTCAGGAGTCAGTGTAAACCCAGTGTTTCTGCTGTTTGTGTGCTCTCTCCTGTGGTCTCTGCAATGTCAAGTACTACATGACATCACCAAAGACTGCCCTGATTACAGCCAGATGTTTCTGATACAAACATCAGGCTGTAGGGCTGGAGTTTGAAGCGTAGATACCCATTCAACCAATCACACTGTTCCTTATCGCCCTCCTCCCACCTCACACTCCCCCTTTAGGCTTCCAGGTACTTTCCAGTTTAGCAGCTCAGTTTGAAATGTGGTTGTGGGCAGAGTTTAGGCGTTTAGTCTCATTTTAAAGCCATAATCACACTGGGTTAACTGAATTTGCATAAAAAAGTGGGAGGTGAATCAGAAAAAAATGTGAATATTGCCAATTGTTGTTTTGGATATTACAAATTATCATTAATAAAGACACTGCACCTGATTTTTATTGTCTTAAAATAGTGGTCCATGGGCGTATACTAGTCTGTGTGCTCTTATACTTGTTCTGATGCAGCTCAAGATCATTCTAAAGCTATTTATATCAGAGTCACGATAAACCGAGTGTTAGAGTAAGTGCAGGTGTCATTTGTTTCGAGCTGAGCGTCACCTGCAGAGAACAGTTGAGGTCCTTGGACAGTCGGAGCAGCTCCTTCTCCACAGACTGGCAGATGGGGCAGCCGTCACCGTGAAGAGCCACGCTGTTCACCAGGAGGAAGCTAACACCAACAGGGACACTATTGTTAAGCAGTGCTGGGAAGTAGAGTTCATTTAAGGATGCACATAGGCCTGTCACGAGAATTACTACAGTATATCGACTTACTGTTCAGTATATGAAAGAAGGAACAATTTTTTTTTTTTGGCATCAGTATTTCATTTATTTGGAATTTTTTCTTTGCACTACTGTTATAATGGGTACGATTTAAGCTATAAAAGTGTTGCTTATTTACAATGTTGGGAAGGTTACTTTTAAAATGTATTCCTGAACAGATTACAGATTACATACCCCAAAATGTAGTTTGTAACGTAATCAATTAAATTACTTAAAGTGAGTAATCTGAATACTTTGGATTAGTTGATATTGTCATGCTTTTTAAAACTACATGAATGTAGAAACCACATCCTGAAAATTCTTGTTTGTTCTCTTCAAATTGTCTGTTGAGCCCAAGTCTCCATGAATGGACAATTGTTTACTGTAGAGAAGCAAAGACCAGGATCTTAACTTGAGATCATTTGTCTGCTAAAAGACAAGAAAAAGCCCAGTCTTTCCTTAAACATATTAAAAATATTATTGACAGAGAAATTATTTCTATATGAGATCACTGCTGCCTTAAATTATGTCCATCCTACTGTTAGGTGTCAAATTAGGCCTGGTTTAGTGCTGCTTTAGACCTGGTTTTAGACCTGGTTTTAGTCCTGGTTTTAGTCCTGGTTTAGTCCTAGTTTAGACCTGGTTTAGTCCTAGTTTAGACTTGGCTTTAGACCTGGTTTTAGTCCTGGTTTAGTCCTAGTTTAGACCCGGTTTTGGACCTGGTTTTAGACCTGGTTTTAGTCTTGGTTTAGTCCTAGTTTAGATCTGGTTTAGTCCTGGTTTTAGACCTGGATTTAGTCCTGGTTTAGTCCTAGTTTAGACCTGGTTTAGTCCTGGGTTAGACCTGGTTTAGTCCTAGTTTAGACCTGGTTTTAGTCGTGGTTTTAGTCCTGGTTTAGCCCAAAATGTGAAAACAGGAAAATACCACAATGTAATGTCCATTTATTTCAACACAGTAAATATAATCCAATTACCACTCACTGAAACAGTAACTGTAACTGAATACAGTTACTCATAATTTGTACTCTGATTACATAACGCTGGTACATGTAATCTGTTACTCCCCAACACTGCTTATTTATTGTAGTTCACGTTTTATTAACAATATTGTATTTTTATAATAGTTTTTGTGCTTTAAATCTGCTCTAGGATTTCTGTATCAAAAGTCAAAGTCATAGATTAGTTTCAGTATAATCGTTTATCATCTATATTTATTCAGCTATATATCGCACTTCACATTTTTTTTAGTGTGACAGGCCTAGATGCATGTAAGATTTTGATTTTAAGTTCCATAAACATGACCTAAAAGTGTCCCCAGCTATAAGGTGTTCAAATGACATACACTTTTACTGATAATTATTGTAGTGTTTATATTCTTAATACAAAAACATTGGACATAATAGTAGCTGTTTTGGTTCTCAGGATGAGTATCCAAACAGAAAGCAAAAAAATTAACCTCACGTGAGTCGCTATCTTGGGTTGTCAGTTCCAGTTGTTAGAAAAAAATGAAAGGAATCTGTCTGATCTGAATTCTTAAGTCAGATCAATGAATTGTGGAGGGTCTGAGCTTTCACATGAGAATGACAAAAACCTGTGTGTGTATATTTTATTTTATTGTTATTTTCGGATCTGTTATGATGTTGTTTCCTCATCAAAAACATATCTGGAGTTGTGTTTTGTTTCATTCACACATGTTTAACACAGAAATCCTGCATATTTAGACTGAATTCTTCTCTCAAACTTGAAAATAGTCTTGTTAAATTTTATGATCCCACGTAGTAATACATGAAGTTGTGCACTGTGTTTTAGGCTATGTTTATATGATGACGGTCTGAATAGAAGTTGCAAAAGTGGCGTTGCGTTTTCACTTTTTATTCTGCATTTAGATGAGCTTTTTCGGGAGGAAATCTGCGTGCATACAGTGATGCAAAAGTGTGTGGAATTCAAGTTGGTATGCAGGCCAGGCAGCTAGGTGGTGGTTGAAGGTCCGACGCATGGAAATGATCTGACGTGTTGGTTTCTGTGTACTGTATGTATGTGACGTAAACACGTACGTGACGTGAGCAGATCTGACCAGAATTTTGCGTCTTGGGCAGTGTAGATGGAAAAGCTATGGTGGAGTGTATTCAACTTTTCCACTCTGGAGGGTGGTTTCAGATTTTTGTTTTTTTAAGGCTCAAAAACGCCATCACCGTCTAAACGAAAAGCACTTCTGATAAAATATTTTGTTGTTTTTACCCACAAGCGTTCTCGTGTAAACAGGCCCTTAAACTGATCTTTTACTAGCCTCATTTGGATGGTTTCAGCCCTGGATTTGGCAATCTCTACACAACTAAAGGTACTGTGAGCTTTGGAGGTTTAGACAGATGAATAATAAAGGATTACTCAAACATGGGTGAATGAAACAAAACAAAAACGAGGTATCAACATTCTAACGTGACTTAAAGCTCACAAGAGTCAGTTTTGTGCGATGTAGAACATTTAAGGCACTGGCAACCCAAGTTCAATTGTGATTTTTTTTTTTTTTTAACAGGCTGTATTCCCTACTTTTTTAAGGAAAGGTCCCATTTCCAACCGATCAGCTCTGTGTGCTGACAGCAATACACGTGAACCATGAAAAAAATCATGTTTACTGAATGTCTCTCCTCACTGTCGCTGCCCCATTACACTTCGCTTACTGTTGGTCCAAGAAAACCTTCTGAACAAAAACAAAAATGATGAACAAATGATTGACTCACTTGACTCCTTTTTTGGTGACGATTCTTGTGGACGAGGCGTTGAAGACTTTCTCAAACCTCTGCAGCTTGAACCAGTCCATTCTGCAGAGACACACACACACACACACAGGGTCAAACAGCTGTGCATAAATTATACAGGACTGTACTTAAACACACCATGAACTCAACCACAGCACAGAGGTCAGGGACGACTCCGGTCTAAATATGGTACAGTGGATTGAGAAACCAGGGATGGTCCAATATGGATTTTTTAAAAACATAACCAATATCTGAAATTTGGGCTGCTACTGTGGCCGATAATCGATATTTGACGATACCAATATTAAGATTTTATAAACCATAGCAAGGACAAAAAATGATTTTTAGAGTGCACAAATAAACTTTTCTCTTTTGTAAAAATACTAACATTTATTTATCTGGTTTATAAAATTGTTGTATGTTTGTTTAAATAGACAGCCATATTTTAGCCTAATGTTATCTCACAGTACGATATTATCACGATATGCATCTTATTGTACGATATTTATTGTGATATTTTAAAGAGGCTGATATAATTGTAGATAGGACACTTTTTTGCTTTTAAAATAGATTTTTTGTGAATAATTTCTGTCATAAACCCAAGAATTCAAGTAAAAAATATATTTCATGTTATTTGCACTGAAATGAATCATGGGATATGTAGTTCCTGATGTTTATAAGCTGTTGTTACTATAAAATCATGCATTTAAGCAAAGGAACTTGTGATTCGATATATTGCGACAGCCGACGATATTATTGTGAGACTTTTGACAATACGATATCACAATATTTTGGTTATTGTTACATCCCTACTCTTCTATTTTCATTTTTACCCTTTAGGCTGATTCACTAAGCACAAACTGGGAATGACACACGGTCACACACAGAAAAATCTCGCTAAATATCGCACCAGTACTGATATCTGGAGAAACTTTCGATATATCACCAATAGCGGCTAAACCATCTCATAGAGAAACAGCTTGAATTTGTTTAGGATGGGTTAATAATGTTTACTAGAAGTGCACTATGTAACTTTTCAAATGGCGCGTCCACCACCTGCTTGTCACCATTAGGGATGTAACGATATCCAAATCTCTTGGTACAATATAATCACGATATGCATCTAACGGTACGAAATTTACTGCGATATTTTGGAGAGGCTGATATAATTGAAGATAGGACACTTTTTTGCTTTTAAAATACCTTGACAAGATTTTGATGTGAATTATTATTGTCATAATCTCAAGAATTCAAGTAAAAAACATATTTATTCATGTTTTCTACACTGAAATGAATCATGGGATATGTAGTTCCCAATGTTTATTAGCTCTTGGTACTATAAAAACATGCATTTAAGCAAAGGATTCTGTAATTTGATATATTGTTCGTCCTAATAAATCTCACAATTTGCAAGCAAGACGGTGTGCGGGATTTTTCTCTATTTTCTTGGGCTGCTCCTTCTCCTCCAACGCACCCGTCTCAAGTAATTGATGTGCGAAGTTCTCATTCTTTGATATATTGTGACAGCTTATGATTTTATTATGAGACTTTTGACGATACGTTATCACGATATTTCGGTTATTGTTACATCCCTAGTCACCGTGGAGATGTTATTGCTTTGTCTGGAATGCTCGATTAAACTTACCAACCTCAGTGGAGTTAAGCAGTGGAGTTAAACTATGAAACATCCCAGGCTAGAGATGTAACAATATCCAAATCTTTCTGTACAATATTTTCACGATATTCATCTCACGGTACGATATTTATTGTGATACTCTGTGGAGACTAACAAAAGTGTGAATATGCTACTTTTTCTTCTTAAAATGCCTTGACAAGACTTATTTCTCCTTGTAGTCTGCACTGAAACGAAGCAAAGGATCATGGTCTATGTAGTTCACTCTGTTTTTTTTTTAGCTATTCCTGCACCATAACTGTTCATTTAAGTTAAGAGACTTGTAATTTGATATATTGTGATGGTCCACGATATTATTGTGAGACCTTTGTCGATACGATATCAGGATATTTCGATTATTGTTACATTACTATCCCAGACATGAAATTGTAAAGCGTCTTTGAGCGTCTGGAGCGATTTACAAGACTAATGCATTATTATCTCAGACTCTCAGATAAAACTATGACGATTAAGGATCAAATGTTTGCTTTCCTTAGTTTGTCCGCCTCTTTTTATACACTAAACCTGCTGTCAATATTGTTATTTGTTCAATGCGTGTTTAATCCTGTTTTATGTCTGTACTATCCTCTGTGTTTGGTACTTAATTAAATTTCACTTGGCGTTCATTAATTAAAGGGAAGAAGAAAAAAAGACAACTGGTAATACATTATTATTACTTTTTTTTTTTTAAAATTACATAGCCAAATGTGTGTAAGTAATCATGTAATAACAATAAAATGAGATTAGAATTTTCGTGTATACGGTCCTGCATTACTTTTATAGCACGGACAGTTTCGGACATACAGTACAGTTATCAGACTGGTTTAACATGAGTCAGCGTATTTATTCACCCATACATCACCTTGTGTGTGTAAGCCTGTCTCATTCCAGCTGACAGTAACACTCGCACATACTTTCGGCACTGGCCTTCACTGTAAAACTGGTTGAGTGCCTTAAATTAAACAAAGGGTGTGGGCTGAACCGAACAATACTCCTTTGAATGCCAAGGAGTAAGCCAAGCAAATGAAAGACAAAGAGAAAAAGATGAAATCCAGGCATTCCACACTGCGTTTTAAATATAAGTAGGATCATGTAGATTGTCATTTAGTTTGCTTTCCCCCTGCGTAACGTATCCAAGGTGCATCGCATGTGCTGTATTCTGTCTCACGAAAGCCGCGCTGAGCTCAACATTGTCAAACCAGTTGGAGAAGTTTCTTGGGACTTGATCCAACCAAATGCTGTCACTTCTGCTGCCAGCACGAGAGGAGTTTATAGCAACTCAAAGGTCTCCATGTTTTATAATGGCAATAAAATTACTTAATCAGATGTAAAACTACTTCCGAAATGCTTACTTATAACAAATATTATTACTTACTACAACTATTAGTACTCTTATAGAAGGCTGGATGATATGATGATTCAAATCCTCTCCCTATATATGTTTGAAATAGTCAAATTACCATTCAGTAATTATGTTTAAAGGTGTCTGGAATGTTCCACCATATGGCATTAAGCTTATCTTGTATTTGCTCAGTTACAGGTGTTTTATTGGCTTGGAAAACATGCTACGTTTATATGATGCCGGTCTGAACAGAAGAAGCAAAAGTGGCGTCGCGTCTTCACTTTTTATTCCGCGATTAGACGAGCGTTTTCAGGAGGAAATCTGCGTGCATACGGTGCCGCAAAAGTGTGACGCTATGTGACGTAAACGCATGCACGACGTGAGCAGATCTGACCAGAGTTTTGCGTCTTGGGCAGTGTAGACGGAAACACTACAGCGGAGCGTATTCAACTTTTCCACTCTGGAGGGTGGTTTCAGAGATTTAAGCCCCAAAAACGCCGTCACCGTCTAAACGAAAGGCACTTCCGATAAAATATTTTGTCGTTTTTACCCACAAGCGTTCTCAGCCCTGATTGTGAATGAGCTTGCCTCTCCACAGATCTGACCTGTAACTTGGCATGGTGGAGTCACCTGCTTGTCTCCACGGAGATAGATGTTTAATAACACACAAGCAGGTGGCAAAACCTCCAACAGAAGTTACTAAGTGCACTTTTAAAGTGCTTAATGAGTGAGTGACAGGTGGATTTAACCAATCAGAGTGAAGTGTGAACTCGTATTTGTTACCTCTCTTAAAAGCACTAAACATTGGAGATAGACTCACATGTTTTGGCTGATATATCGACCTGATACTTGTAATTTTTAAAAGATTTTTAAGATTACTCTTCTTTCTGCTCCTTTTCATTCATTTCTTGTATGTTTGATGTTGTGACACTGTTGATGTCTTTTTATTCTATTATCTATTTTTTTTAAATACATAAATTAACAAAAAAATAATAAAAATTTGCACAGCACCTATTGGCCTTAATCTACATTATGTAACTTTTCTGGTGGAGGGTGCATTAAATATTTTTCTCTGGAATGTTTCACAGTACGCCATTAAACCTTTCTATCTTCATGGAGACCAAACCAGACCAAGTTACAGGTCAGATCTGTGGAAATTTTGATATTTTTGAGCTATAAAACCACCTGTAAAATAGAGCTGTTTAATGTCATACTGTGGAACATTTCATGCAGAGCAATGACACATCCACAGGAACAAGCAGGTGACAGATCCCCAGCCAAAAAGTTCCACGGTGCACTTTTAAATATCACTCAGATATTTTGTTTTGGTCGATTTGCTGCCTAAAAGTACACACAAAACTTTATATTAATACTTTAATATGATGGTAAACAAGGGCCTGGGGGGAATTTGAGGTAAGTTTAAATTACATAAGCCACTAAATCACCAAAATCAGTCTTAATATCATCCCAAAAATATCGTCAGTTTATTGACCAACTGTGTCTGCAATGGCAACGAAAAATCCCATCTTTCATAAAAATACTGAACATGATCTGTAGGCTATAATTGTAGTTTGGTTTCTTAGCATTTAGTTAAATTGTCTGTCCTTTAATCATGTACTGCCCTCTGCCAATAAACTCTCTAACATAGTGACAGCGCTGCACAAATATGGCAAAAATTATAATCACAATTACTCTAAATTACTACAAAATTAACATATAGAGAAAGTATGGATAAACGAAATGTATTTTATCAGCAATATTCTGTGGCATGTAGATTAGATTAGTTTTTAGGGACAGAAGAAGCATCCATATTAGTTTTATTTTCACTTTTTGTATTTAAATATCGTGATAATTGAAATCCCAATTATAAAATGTGATATGGAAAACGTTGTGTAGACATTTTGGAGATGAGGAAACTGTTTAAAATAATAATAAAATAAAATAAGGACACTTCTTTCACACCGCTGTTACTTCATAATTATATTTCTAAGTGGTACCAGTAATAATAGAAAATGTCTGATTTGAATTTTTGTGCGTCACTTATCAGCATTCGTAAGTAATGCCATAATCAACAGTTACACAACTCGGCCAAAGTCTGTTTCTTTTATTTACAGCTCCACAGCACAGCGCAGCAGAGCTTTTACTCACTCTGGTATCACGCTCAGGTTTCATTCAGATGGGATTTTAGGGGGAGAGAATTCTTAAGCAGCTGCTCAGAGGAGAACTAGTTTTATGTGTTATTTTAAGACTTGATGGTACTTATTGTTGTGTTGGTAATACTAATGATTTGGAGACAACACTTGGATTTAAAAGGACACTTCTCAGCAGTGTGTCATAAGAAACGTGCTAAAATATGCAAAAAAGTCCAAATATCGTACTGATATGTCAACCAACCAAGTCTATAGTTTAGTTTAGTTTAGTTAGGATAAGTCTGGGTTAGTTATGGTTAGGATAAGTCTGGGTTAGTTATGGTTCAGATAAGTCTGGGTTAGGATACGTCTGAGTTAATTATGGTTAGAATAAGTCCGGGTTAGTTTTGGTTAGGATAAGTCTGAGTTAGTTATGGTTAGGGTAAGTCTGGGTTAGGATAAGTCTGGGTTAATTATGTTTAAGATAAGTCTGGGTTAGGATAACTCTGGGTTAATTATGGTTAGGATAAGTCTGAGTTAGTTATGGTTAGGGTAAGTCTGGGTTAGGATAAGTCTGGGTTAATTATGGTTAGGATAAGTCTGGGTTAGGATAACTCTGGGTTAATTATGGTTAGGATAAGTCTGAGTTAGTTATGGTTAGGGTAAGTCTGGGTTAGGATAACTCTGGGTTAATTATGTTTAAGATAAGTCTGGGTTAATTATGGTTAGGATAAGTCTGAGTTAGTTATGGTTAGGATAAGTCTGGATTAGGATAAGTCTGGGTTAATTATGGTTAGGTTAGGTCTGAGTTAGGATACGTCTGGGTTAGTTATTATTCAGATAAGTCTGGGTTAATTATGTTTAAGATAAATCTGGGTTAGTTATTCTGGGGTGGCTATGGTTAGGATAAGTCTGAGTTAGGAAAAGTCTGAGTTAGTTATGGTTGGGATAAGTCTGTGTTAGATAGTCAGGTTCAGTCTTACTTAAGTCTGAGTTACTTTGTCGGGGTGAGTCTTACTCGTAGTGAAATCCGATATCGTGATTTCCGACCAGCACCACAAGCTCAGTGTCCGGGGAGTGTCTGAACATCCTGTGGAAACGGCGCACATCGTCCTCCCAGTGCTAAAGGAGACACACAGAGGACAGATTAGGCAATATATCTTTATCTCTTTATTTCTCATTATGTATGCTACAACATTTTGTGTTGCAATTAGTGAGATCTGCATTTTTTAAATGAGACATATCACTGCTTTGCCTGGAACGCTCCACAGTATTAAATTAAATTGATCTACGTTCATGGAAACTAGCACAGTAAAAAAAGCATGTTTTTCACTGTAATTGAATCTGGACAAGATAGATACATTTAATATCATACTGTGGAACATTTTAGGCAAAGCATTGTCATTTCCATGGAGAATCTTACATATACATACAGATACACAGTACGGGTGTGCAAAAATATGAAAATATCAATATATATCATATCGTTTGATGTGATGATACAGTATTGATATCGTGGGCTGATGTATCGATATATCACCAAGAGTATTTTTTGGTTTATTTTACTAAATTATTTTGTTACAGGTCTACAGTTTTGTTAGCCAGGCTGGCGCCACCTAGTGCCTCCGCTTAATTTAATTTCTCTCCATAGACTAGGTCAGGAATCAAAATACATTAGACAGTTTGCAAAAACCCCGGAAGTGTGCGTTCGGTCACCAGTCAGTTAGCGAAGAGTCATATATTCTGGCAACGATTCCCGAGATCGAGGATTTAAAGCCCGAACAAAGAGAATGTTTGGTGAATTTTATCAAGGAGAAAGACGTTATTACCCTTCTTCCTATGGGATTTGGGAAAAGCTTAATATACCAGTTAGCCCCGATAGCTGCACATTACATGCGTCACGACCAAATAGCAGCAACTGATTAAATGCTAAAAAGTACCCGCCTACCGTCGAGCGAACGCATCCTAACGCTGTGAGGATGAATCAGGCTACAGTTTGTTGCTTGTTTAGTGGAATGCAACTCATTTATGCGACACATTTGACATTTTCACTGTTTTGATGATTAAAATGTTTGTGTTTCATATGAACTTTGCACAAGAAGTGGTTTAACAAAGACTTTTAGTGTCACAGCCATGATTTAGCCTTTATTTTTTACTGAACCATATCGAATCGATTTGAAACATATTGTAGTGAATCGAAAGTGCACTGTATTGAGATATGTATCGTATCGTGGCCTATGTATCGCAGTATGTATCGTATCGGCAACTTCTTAATGATACCCTGCCCTAATACACACACACATACATTGTTTGAGCAGGAAGCAGGGAGCACTCGCTTTTCTTTGAGAGAAGAATACAGCCTCATGCAGGATATGAGAGTGTTAAATATGTGTGAATGAAACAAAACAAAACACAACTCCACTTATGTTTGTGAAGAGGAAACAACATTATAGCATAGATCAGAAAAATAGTGTAATTTGGCCTCTTTAATTTGATTTAGGGATAGGCAAACAAATCTATATGTCTCCAACTGGTCTTATTTTCATATTTATAGAAGCTGCTAACCCTGCATGAGCTTCTTGTATTAGTTTAACAGCTCATATCTCAGTCTTGTCTTGAATGTTAATGCTGTTGGACTTGTTTCAAATGTGCACTGTGAGCTAAATCTCGCAAATCGAATCGCAAATTAAAATGCGAGCCACAAGAAATCACTTCTTACAAAATAGTCCAACCTTAGCGTAGAATAAACATCCCTCAGCTAGTACAGCTATCTCTCTACGGTGTCTCATTATAACCGTCTCCGCGGGTTACACGGGGCCTCTACGGGTGCTCATCTGGGACACTCTTCGATCACTACATAGAATTGTGCACCTGCGTGTCTCTCTCTGGCTGCACCTCGGAGACTGGTGATTAAATCAGAGTCGTTATTTATTTATTTTTTTTACAGTGTTTGTGCTTCCCTCGTGCTCCTTTAATTAGCGACATAGCTCACCCCCCCCTCCCCCCGCTCGTCAACGCTAATTAGTTTCTGAAGGCATTTCTATCAAGCTAAAGAGAGTGACACTTTTGAAAAACGTGTCACGAAATGTGCAAAATTCAAAGCTTTAATCCAGACTGAATAATGCTATTACAAGCTCTCCATACTTAATGAACTAATAGATATGGTTTGTACTTAAAAGAGGAGGGATGGGCTGTGGTTACTGATACTGGTATCGATATCGGGGCCGATCCTGGATCAGATATTAGTCCCTTGAGTACTTCAGTAGTTACTTGCAGGATAAATCACAGTTACATAACACAACTGGATCCATTTTCTACTAAAAAAAACACCATTCTCAGTCTCTACTCTGGTATCGGTTAATATTGGGTATCAAGAACTACTTAAAGCCAAAGTATTGATATTGGTATTGAAGCTAAAGAACACTGTATTGACACATCTCTAGTTGTAGCTGAGTGAATGTAATGAATTGTTATTGTATATGAGTACATTTTTGTGGTGGCAGGTGAACTTCCTGCTTGTCCCCATGCATGTGTTGATTAATTTGATAGAAATGTGATTAACTCATACAAAAGTATAGCCAGGCTGGTGCCACCTAGTGCCTCCGCTCAGTTTCATTTCTCTCCAGTGACTAGGTCAGGAATCAGAATACAATAGACGGTTCACAAAAAACACAGAAGTGCAAGTTCAGGCACCAGACAATCAGCGAAGAGACATATATTCAGTGTTGTCAACGATTCCAGAGATCAAGGATTTAAAGCCGGAAGAAAGAGAATGTTTGTGAATTTTATCAAGGGTAAAGACATTATTGCCCTTCTTCCTATGGGATTTGGGAAAAGCTTAAAGGTTGTATAGAGGATTTTTTAAGGGAAGTGAAATACAGTGACAGTCCTTTTTCAAATGTTGTGCACCACCTTCTTCCTCCACAGCTCCCTCAGTAGAAACATCTCCTCCTGCCTCTTTACTCTAGAAATCACGCTTGTTTACAGCCAGTGTGCGTTCAGAATTACTGTTGAAGTTTCCTGTCTAGAAATAATTTAGCGACCGATGCATCAGTTTTTAGACCCTTCGTCTGCTTCAGCCGCGCCATCGCTGGAAGAGATCTCCAAGAATCACCTCAGTTTGTCTTCGCTCCTTTTCCCCTTCTCTTCTTCTTTCAGCGACTTCAAAAACCAGACGTTCTTTTGCGGCGAACTGGTCGTGGATTCTCGTCTGCCATCTCAACAAACTTTGTGCGAAATGCGAGGAAGCGACAGTTTGAAAAAACCTCTAAGAACCGCTGCATAAACCACGTAATCCCCGCACGCCGGCGAGTCAGTTACACTAGAAACGTAGGGAGTTTGATTGACAACCTAACAGCCAATAGATAAAGAGGGAGCCTCGTTTTCTATTGGCTGATGTTTATCTGGCCTCACTACATCCACAGTTCATAGATTTTCATTCTTTTCTTTGTTGGTCATCATAATTTCAAGGCTGCTGTGTCTCTGTAATGGTATTTTAAACTTTCAATGACAATTTGAAACAAAAAAAAAATCCTCCATACAACCTTTACTATACCAGTTATCCCCGTTAGAGGCGCATTACATACGTCACGACCAAATAGCAGCGATTGGTTAAATGATAAAAAGTACCCGCCTACTGTCGAGCGAACAAATTCTAACACTGCGAGTTCAGACGGTTTCTACGAAGTGATATCGGTTGATGAATCAGGCTAATAAAAGTATACTAAAAAACAATAGAATTTCATTACATTCACTCAACTACAACTTGACGTGCCAATACAACTTTGGATAAAAGCAAGAAACCCCACCAGGTCAAGTTACATGTAAGATCTGTAAAGAGGCGACCCTGCTCAACAATTAAAAAAACCACCTATTATTGAAAAAAATACAATCACCGTAGTTTAGCCATGTTATGCCAGATAAAGCATTAACATCTCCATGAAGACAAAGTGTCATACCCACACCTGAAAAGATACATAGTGCACCTTTACATTTTGAAGATTTTTTTAATTTTTTTTTTTACTTACTGTACTTCTGGCCATTGTATTGTTAGGACATATTAGTTTTAATTGCTTTTTAATCTGTCAGTATTCATGTCTAATTTGCTATTAAAATCTCATTTGTAAACATTTTAAAAACAGTGAAATGTAATGAAGTGTAATAAATATTATAATAAGCATTTTATGACTAAATAATTTTCTGTGCCTGTTTAGCTCTGATGTAGTCCTTGGTTTAGTCTTGTTCTGGTCCTGGTTTAGTCCTGGTTTAGTCTAGGTTTGGTTCCGGGATTAGTGTTGTCACGATACTAAAATTTCAAACTTGATTTTGACAATAAGGAATAGGATACTTGATAATAGAAACTGATTATGGTACCACAATGAAAATAAAAAAACACCCTCTCTTTAGACAATATAATGTGATTTTCAACATTAGATAATAGTTTTTTCTTATATATTAACGTGTGGTTTTATATCTGTGTAATCCAGGTAGGTTCCATAGTGGTCCATGGGCGTATACTAGTCTACGTCCTCTTATATTTGTACAAATACAGCTCAAAATCATTCTAAAGTTCAGGAAAGGTTCACTTCTGTCCTGTGAATGCGACTTTTTTAGTACTGATATCTGCTCAAATTAGTATTTAGTTTCAATACTAGTTTTAGCATCGATTAGTATCTTATTTTTGATACTTTTGACAGCCCTAGTTCCTGAGTTTAGTCCCAGTTTTGTCCTGGTTAAACTGAGATTCAGTCATATCTGCTTAATTCTTATTATCTTGTATTTTATTTGGTTCATTTCAAACTGTACTAAAATTGAGCAGTGAAAGCTTACATTTTTACACTGTATTCCTTTATCAAACTCATTCCCTTGTAAAATGTACACCACGCATCTAGTGTTACCCCATGTCTCTGTATCGTCCAATCACGGCCCTCGTTCACTGTCTCCGCTCTGATTGGTCGAAACAGTCACTATGAGAACACCTCAGCCTTTCATATGAACAACGCTGTGAAACATGACTTGTGCATCTTAAGAAATACACCTGTGATTTAATCTTATGTACATAAATATTTAAAATACTAGTTTGGAAAGCAGATGGAGGATTTACTAAAATAACTACAGCTACTTGGAGTTAATTTTTACACTTAAAACTGTATCAGAACAAGTATAAGAGCACATAGACTAGTATAAACCCAAGACCACATGAAAAAATAAAAGAAACTACTATGATTTAATGCTGAAAATCACATTCTATTGTCTAAAGAAAGCGTGTCGAGAAATATTTGCATCATGACAACACTCCATTATAGACAGTTTGATATTTATGTATAGATATAATAAATAAAAAGTCTAATTTAAGTGTATTTATCGCAAATTATAACCATAAACAGCTGCCAATAAACTATAGGCAAACTGTCAATGTAAATACACTGTTTACTTTGCTATTTAACATAACGCTGATGTGCGGATTTGCGTAAAATGTAGTCCTAAAAAAATCACATTGTTAATTCACTTTGATAGTCCGTGTGAAAGAGGAAGCAGATTTCTGGACAACCTCGTTCGACTGGTTTTGTAACTTTAATTATAACGTCATTGTAAGGGCAACTACATGGTTATGACTAAACATACCGGCTATATAATATGAATAATGTCCTAAAAATCTTAAAGCGACACCGTGTAACTTTCGGAAAGAGGCGCGTCAACGGGAAATTGAAAGAAAGTTAAAACCTACACTACTTTGTCCATAGAAATAGATGTGTTTTATGACATATTGTGGAGTTTTATAGCCATAGGAGACCAAATAAGAGTCAGGTTTGTGGAGATGCAAGCCTGCTCACAGTATGGATGTTTTTCAGTGTTTTTTAATGCAATAAATACTGAAAAAGGGTTTATATTTCTACAAAAATATGAATAATTTTTTACTAAAATGTTACGCGGTGTAGTTTTAAGCAAACATAATATTGAAATAATTGTGATTTGTATAAAATAATAGGAACTGTATTATGACATGGACTAGTTTTGTCACAATATTAAGATTTCAAGCTTGATTTAATCGATACTAAATACAGATTCTATACCATGATGATAATAAAAAAACACTCTTTCTTTAGACAATAGGAAGTCAAGTCTTTGTGCTTTTATACTTGTTCTAATACAGCTCAAAATCATTCTAAAGCTTCAGGAAAGGCTCATTTCTGTGCTGTAAATGTGACTTTTTAGTATCAACACCTGCTCAAATAAGTGTCTAGTTTCAGAATTGATTAGAATCTGATTTTTGATACTTTTGGCAACCCAATACCCAAAGAAAAATGGTGTTTACTTTTGTTTAAATAGCCTAATGATACAGTTTCATATATGTATAGGTATAAGGTGGAAAAACAAAAGACTAGGTAGACAGAGCGGTGCAACACTAACCAGAAATAATAGCATCTCTTACCCTTTAGACAGCTTCTATATGTAAACAGCTTAACACTATGTACACGGCAAAGCGAATGTGACATTTCACCAGTAAACAAAGGAAGAAGGAAGTGGAGGGTTGCCTCAGCAGTAACAGAATCACGAAGCTATCCACGTTTAAATGTGACGTTTAGACGCATTTTATGATGAAAACTGAACCGAATGTGGACAGCCTGTGCATATGACTGGCATGACAACCCTCTCTGCATATCAAGTGATGCCAGACTATAGGTGGGATCACATGGCAACAAGATGTACTATAAATACAAGATGTTGCATTTGAAGTCCATGTATTGTAATCTGCCTCGCCAGTTCTGGAAACAAAGAAGGTATTGAAAGCCCGGGTTGGTCAGTGGGATTTCTGTATAAATTTTTTGCCCTTCCATCTTGTTTCTTTTGTTCTGACATGATGCAGGCATGTTTGTGTACGCGGATGGTAGCCTACAACTGCAGTGCCACGATGGAGTGGATGGCAGCGCGTGGTTGGGTTTGTTTTTTAAGCTAAAATACATGTCTTTGCGCCTATCTTCATCATTATTCTCCTCCTCATCCTCGCCACAGACACAAAGGCAGCATTCAGCCAATCCATGCTAGGTTTTCTTACATTTTTGGGTTTGATATTTACCTTTTGCGAGCTCCACTTGCCTTCGTCGAAGATGTCACCAAGAATGAACACGATTTCTGGTTTTAATAGCCACAAAGCTGTTTGAAATGCTCTTTCCATCTGCCATTCTCTAAACAACAACAATAGCGAGTTACAGTGAGTGTTGACAGCGCGTAAAACCACATAAAAACATTGCAATTTTTTACCTCCGGAGCTTGTCAAACCAGTGCCCGCCTACGGCCCCTAGGAGGTGGGTATCGGACAGCACCATGGCTCGCACCGGTTCGGACGCATCGCCTCCCCGGGGACCGTCCACGTCGTTTCCCCCGCGGCCATGGCTCACGACGGGCCACGAGCACTGGAAGATGGTGGGGAAGTAAATAAGATACTCGCAGAAAAGAAAGGTTCCTCCAAGTACCACTACGAGCAGCAGGGCGACCGTCCATGTGGCTCCGAACCGCGGCATGCTGGCTGCGTTAGTGCCCGCGACTGGTGATGCCGAGGATGGGGCGAGCCATGAGGCATCTTCCCCCTGTCCCCGCAGCCTCCTCCTCCGCTACCTCCTCCTATTCTCTCTCTCCGTGGTGGTCGTCTCGGGTGCCGGGGCTCTAGCGGTGCCGCCGAGGGATGCTCATGATGGCGCGTAAAAAGAGGAGCGCGTAAAAAGTGGCGAGAAGCGAATTGACTTGTGGGAAATGGAAGCGACAAGTCTCCTCCGCGTGCCGTGTGGGGTTGGTGGTGGAGAGTGAAAGATGTGCAGCTGCAAAGAGACGGAGCGTTTCACAATCGGAGCTGCGCGCACAAAAGTCAATACCGATCAATACGCACTGAGTTTCCGGTGCACGGTTGTTTAAAAATAAAACTCAAAATGGACAATAATTGACACTGGTAAAGTAAACTGAATGCAAGGGTTTCAAGGTAAATTTAAGTTTTTTTAGCAATATAATTTTACTTCTACTTCTAGTCATATTTTTATTGAAGTAACAGTTCTCATGGTTCCTCTTCCCACTGTTTAAATAAATTAATTTCTACGACTCTTATATAAAAAAATGACTTGAAGCTCAAAGCAGACGACTTGGACTTGACTTATGGGGCCAGTGACTCGAGACTCGACTTGGACTTGGCTGTATTTGACTTCAGACTTAATCCAGACTTGAGGTCAAAGACTTGAGACTTATTTGAAACTTGCAAAACAAAGACTTCAAAATGATTACTGTAATTATGATGCTAGCAAGGCAAGGCAAGACAAGCAAAAAAAAAACAAAAACACATTATTATTATTATTATTATTATTATTATTATTAAATAATAATAATAATAATAATATATAATAATAATAATAATAATAATTTTTAATATTTTTTAATTATTATGTGTAATTAATTTATTATTATTATTATTATTATTATTATTATTAAAAAAACATGTTTTGAAGACAAAAAAAAAAAACACATTTATTGACACTGCTATAACAAACTGATTGCCACAGTTTCAAGGTAAATTTAAGTTGTATCGGCTGTAGAAAAAATAAAAAGTGTACCTGAGTGACTAGCAGGTCCCTGGTTTGATTCCTGATGACACCTGTCTTTGTAGAGTTTGTTTGTCTGGCTGGTTTCCAAATCAACTAAAAACATGTACAATATTATCGGAGATAGCTGGAATTTCAAACTACTTCCAAAATTCCTAAAAAAGTCTTCTAGCTGGGTCTTGGGTTGGGTACCAGTTTACCGAATAAAAGGTTTGAGGACTACTGGCACTGAAAAACCTAAAATTGTTACTTAAAGAATACGTCTTGTTTTGAAGCCAAGTCGGTCCTGGAAATAACACAAAATACAAAAAGGCTTCACCAGCAAAGTCTAAACCAGGACTAAATCAGTAAACAGGAGAAAATATTAGGGGTGCAATGGTACATGTATTCGTGCTGAACTGTTTCGATATGGGACGTTCTGTTCAGTGCAGGGTTATGGACGAGTAAATTCATGCAATTTGTGTGGCTCGGCTACAAGGAAGGCTCAGCTCATTAATATTCACAAGTGACTGGGGTGGGGTGGCAGTGTTTCCCGCATCGCTTTATAGTTAGGGCGCCGCCTTGACAACAATTGCCCCCTGCCTTGACTACGTCCCTCTGAACCACATGAATCCTCACAAAACTACGGTCGTCACGCCGCAGTCCTCACTTTTGCCTTTCGCTGGCACTGAATGCACATTTTAGGAGATGGGCTGTGGGTTGCATCATAAAATATGTATACCCCTGGTCTATATGATGATGAAAAGTATCCCTCAGGCGCTAGTACCAAAAATGAGGTATAATTTAAGTCCTGGTACCAGAAAAAACTGAGAAGTGCCAAGCGCTGTTGGTTGTACTGCAGCATAATTACACCGACATTAAATCAAACATGAAAAACAGATCTATGGATATCCTTTCTCTAATTTTATAAGCTGTATTAATCACACATATATCCACCGACAATGTAATGGCATAATGTTCATCTCCATTTTTCTATTACGACCCATGACCATTTTATTTTGAAAGCGCATCGGCCTTGACTTCCTGTTCACCTTAGTCAAACTGACACGTGTTTATGCCTCTGTGCAGCTGAGAGGGGATTTAACTGGGGGAATTATTACATTTCTTAGTTTTATTTTGGGCGTTTATCAGTAATAAATAACAATATATCTGAATATTTTTGCAAAAAAATCTGCTCACTCTAACCAACATAGTGGGAAACGCGCCAGGAATAAGCTCCTTCAAATAAGATTAAATGATTAGGAGCCGAAATCTAATCACCCCGAGACTGCTGACAGACTATCCCCGCGAAGAGGCAACAAACTGGGGCTAAATATGGCTTACGACTACGGTTACTTCCAGACTTGTGGCTTTGCGCACAGCTTGGTCCGTGCGCATTCCGCTTATTCACTCAGCACAAGGAGACGTTTCTATGGAGTTTTTGTCTTGGATTTGACCTGAGACACCCGGCATGCCTCAGAAATTTGCTACGTCAGCGGAGCAAGAGTTGACCCGAGGGAATGAGGAAGTTGCTCTGACAGATAGTTAAAGAGAACCTCGTGTGCAGCTTAAAACAGATAACGTGCGTTTGGGTGGAGGGCTGGTTCTGGCGTTGGTCCATAGAAAATAAGTGAAAGGGGAATGTGGGAATGCTAGAAAGGACAGACAAAAGAGTCATATGATCAAATTATTGTATTTTTTAAAAGGTGCACTATGGAACTTTTCTTGGTGGAGAGTACGCCCGCTTGTCTCCATGGAAATGTCATTGCTTTGCTTCATCTATTGTGCGGAATTAAGTTAATGTTGCAATAATTCAGATCATTTTGCAGAAAAAGAACAAAAACATTACTTGACCTGTGGTGTTAAAGTGGACCTATCGTGTAACATCGACTTTTTGAGCTTTTAGACCTAGTTTAGGGTGACCAGACGTGTCTATGTACCCGGGACAGTCCCAGTTTTGAGCCCTGTGTCCCTTATACCATCAAATTTATAAAAAACATTGATTTGTCTTAGCCAGGCTGGTGCCACCTAGTGCCTCCGCTCAATTTCATTTCTCTCCCGCAACTAGGTCAGGAATCGGAATACACTTGACCGTTTGCAAGAGCCCCTGAAGTTGTAGACCGCGCACCGGCCAATCAGAGATGAGCTGTGAAGCCATGACGTCAAACTCAAGCGCCTGTCTGGGTCCCTTTTGTGGTACAGCACAACAGTAAACAAAACGGTCAAGATGGATGTAGATGAAAACACATTCTGTGTTGGCAACGATTCCCGAGATTGAGGATTTAAAGCCGGAACAAAGAGAATGTTTAAGGGAAGAGAAATACAGCGACAGTCCTTATGCATACATGACACCACCTTTCTCCTCCACAGCTCCCTCAGTAAAAACACCTCCTCCCGCCTCCTTACTCTAGAAATCACGCTTGTTTACAGCCATTCAGAATTACTGTTGAAGTGACCTGTCTAGAAATAATTTAGCTGTTATAATTTAATAATAAGTAATTTAGCAACCGACGCGTCCCTACGTAGACCCTTCGTCTGCTTCAGTCGCGCCATCGCTGGAAGGAATCTCCAAGAATCACCTCTTTTTGGTTTTGCTCCTTTTCCCCTTCTCTTCTTCTTTCAGCGACCTCAAAAATTGACTTTCTTTTGCGGCGAACTGGTCGTGGATTCTCATCTGCAATCGGAACAAAGTTTGTGCGAATTGCGAGGAAGCGACAGTTGGAAAAAAGCCTCTAAGAACCGCTGCATAAACCACATAATCCCCGCGCGCCGGCGAGTCAGTTACACTAGAAATGGTGGGAGTTTGATTGACAACCTAACAGCCAATAGATAAAGAGGGAGCCTTGTTGTCTATTGGCTGATGTTTATCTGGCCTCACTATGTCCACAGTTGATAGATTTTCATTCTTTTATTTATTTTTTTGTCATCATAATTACAAAGCTGCTGCATCTTTGTCATGGTATTTTAAACTTTCATTGACAATTTGAAACTCCATACAACCTTTAAGGGGAAAGACATTATTGCCCTTCTTCCTACGGGATTTGGCGCATTACATACGTCATGACCAAATATCAGCGATTTGTTAGATAAAAAAGTGAGCGAACGAATCCTAATGCTGCAAGGTCAGATTAAGTGAAACTGGCTGATGAGTCAGACTAGATTTGTCTCAGTTTTATACAAGACATGTCCCTGGTGTCAATATTTTTGACCAATTTGATCCCTGCTACAGCAAAGAGAAGCATAAATTGTCATTTGTTTAGGTAAAATACAGAAAAGCTGCTTAAAAATCACCAAAACATAAAGAAAATGTGACTACACTGACACAAGTTAGTCATGAATTGGCCAAGTGCATCACAATTTTCCTTTAATCATGCACTCGTTTTACAATTTTATTATTACCAATCACAGAAAGGGGGGGCCGGTTTTGGTTTTTGAAAATCTGGTCACGTTAACCTACGTGTTTCCCCTTTTCATTTAGACTACCCTCTCGAAATTCTCCTGTATTTAACGGCATCATTGGTCCGATCTACCCGTTTTCCCAGCCACCAGTGCACAGCCACTGCTCTGTACTTGATTTGTTTTACTACACAATGGATTCGGCAGTGTCCACAGGAGGGGCCGATCCTCTATTTTTCAGCTGCCAATCAAACGTGTCATCTTAAGTGGAGAAACCGTAGTGAAGGAGTAAACTTGAGGGAGACTTCAGGAACAAACGTCAGAGAAAATAATCAACTTTATTGGTCTCAGTGAGGCGTTTAGATCCTCTTTCCTCGCATTATCTCTTCTGTGGGCAGGATTTCCTCGCCCATTTCCTACAGAATTAAGGAGAGGAATCAAGGAGGTGGAGACAAAGAATGAGAAATGAGACACGTCCAATATTGCAGACACTTGGTTCTTTGTCATGGGGCCTTTTTTAGGAGTGGCAAATCAGCAAATAATGATTAGAGAACAATAAGGAAACAAAAAAAGGGTTAAAGGTTCGTAAGTTTCTGACTCATGGTTTGGAAGAGAAAAAGAAAACACACACAAAAAACTCTGATTTCTATTATAACATGTTTTATTTGCAATCATAAAATCTTCAACAAAGTGACTGTATTTTACATGGCACATAATATCTCTGTCTGATATTCATTTGTCTCAGCTTCCTGTGACAATTTTAAGACGATTCTCCATTCAAAAGATGTAAGATTTTGTTTTAAAGGTTTTATATTACACAAAATTGACTCCTGTACTTTCAGACGTGTTCAGAATCATACCTGAAGTTGTGTTTTATTTCATTCACACGTTTGAGTAGTTATTATTAGACGGTCTACATCTCCAGAGGGGTAGTTTTGAAGCCTCAATTCCTCAATGAAACCTCAATTAATCAGATTTAATCTACAATACACTAGAATAACCTTAAGTTGTTACATTTTAAATACAGATTTTTTTTTACTTTTTGTTTAGATGAGATTGCTAGAGAAAGTCTTCAATATTTTCTGGTGTACCAAGGAGTGAAGACGTTTCAACAAAGGTAAAACAATATCTGTATCTTAAAAAAAATGGGCATTTCCAGGGCTGAAAATTGACATGATTCTAGTGAAGATGTATGGAGTTTAAAAACACAGTGGAGCTCTTCTTGCGTAACTGAGTGCTTTAAGTTTGAGAACGCAGTTTAATGTGCCGGGTTTGTGAGTTAAACATGTGAATAAAACAAAACACAAGTCCAGGTTTGTTTTTGATGAGGAAACAACATTAAAACATAAATCAAATGAAATTGTAATACAGCCTCTTTAAAGTGTTAATTACTAAAGCAACAACCCTAATTTGTAACTTTAAATGAAACCCACGGATACAATAAAACCTTCTAGTTTCTTGGTCAAATCCTCGTTTTAGCAGCGTTTCTCAGAGATAGTCTCTCCTCAAACAGAACACAGGTGTGGCTGAATGTAAATGAGTCTTCTCCTGTCATTTAAATAAGATTATAGATTTTCTGAAAACACTTTGACGCAAAATGTGACGCCAAAAACTGCAGCTCAGTTACACTCAGATACATTTGCTTGAGTAACTTTCTAGCAGCATATGTAATTTTACTCCTACTTGAGTCGTATTTTTATTGAAATAACAATATTGTGGTACCTTTTCCCACTGTAAATAAATCTAAAGTGACAAAAGCTTTATGTGACAATAAGAAATGATTTAAACATTTGTGTTTCTTGCAGCGGCTCCTTCAGATATGATTTAGTTTGGCTCATTTTTATGTTTTTCCTTTGATAATAAATAAAAAACTGGAAATATCTGATTTTGTGCATGTTTTGTCCATCAGATTGTATCAACGTCAAAGTTTTACTCTTTAAATTACTCTTATTTGAATAGTACTTTACTTAAAACATTTCTTGGACCACTACTTTGTGCTTCTACTTGAGTAATATTATTTTAAAGTAACATTACTCGAGTACAGTTTGGTTCAGGCTATAATACGAGTAACAACAGCGAACAATAAACAATAATATGTGGTATTTACATGGCATTTATGGGGCTGTTTCTAGATGTAAATGTGTCTTGCCTAAGAAGAGCAGTTATGTTATAAAAGCAGCTGGTGGGGTCAAAATAAAACCACTGTGTGCCGTCTGAATCCGTGTGTCGTTCGTTCATTCGTTTTTTTCAATATAAAACCAAAAATAAGAAAATGAAAAAACAACAATTTTCATCATTATTTGTCTCCAAAACCAAAATAAAAAACTGATAACAATTAGTTTTGTCAGTTTTTGATTTTGTGTTTAAATGAATAATGGAAAAAACAGATAACGTCCATTTCCCATTTACAGAGAGCTGGTTTAGACCTGTTCAGTCCTGTTTTAGTCCTGTATTAGTCTTGTTTTAGTCCTGTTTTAGTCCTGTTTTAGTCCTGTATTAGTCTTGTTTTAGTCCTGTTTTAGTCCTTCCTGTTTTAGTCCTGTATTAGTCTTGTTTTAGTCCTGTTTTAGTCCGGGTTTCTACCTGTTTTAGTCCTGTTTTAGTCCTGTTTTAGTCCTGGTTTAGTCCTGTCTTAATCTTGTTTTAGTCCTTCCTGTTTTAGTCCTTCCTGTTTTACTCCTGTTTTAGTCCTTCCTGTTTTAGTCCTGTTTTAGTCCTGTTTAGTCCTTCCTGTTTTAGTCCTGTTTTAGTCCTGTTTTAGTCCTGGTTTAGTCCTTCCTGTTTTAGTCCTGTTTTAGTCCTTCCTGGTTTAGTCCTGTTTTAGTCCTGGTTTAGTCCTGTTTTAGTCCTGGTTTAGTCCTTCCTGTTTTAGTCCTGTTTTAGTCCTGGTTTATACCTGTTTTAGTCCTGTTTTAGTCCTTCCTGTTTTAGTCCTGTTGTAATCCTGTTGTAGTCCTGGTTTATACCTGTTTTAGTCCTGTTTTAGTCCTGTTTTAGTCCTAGTTTAGTCCTGGTTATACCTGTTTTAGTCCTGGTTTAGTCCTGTTTTAGACCTGTTTTAGTCATGGTTTAGTCCTGTTGTAGTCCTGTTTTAGTCCTGTTTTAGTCCTGGTTTAGTCCTGATTCAGTCCGGCATCGCAGTTTAAGTCACGAAAACGGGAAATGGACATTATCCGTTTTTTCCGTTATTCATTTAAATACAAAATTGAAAAATGAAAAAAACTAATCGTTATCTGTTTTCTTATTTTAGGTTTGGAGACAAATAATGAAGAAAACAGCTGTTTTTTTCACTTTCTTATTTTTGGTTTTATATTGAAAATCGAATGAACGAATGATACACAGATTTGTCCACATCTAATTACAGAGTATTTTTATTGTCTGCGAACCAGGAAGCAACGCTGATGTGCTGTTAACATAATTATAATGCTAGGAAGGCAAGTCAATCAAAATAAAAAAAATAAACTAGCACATTTTTTCATGTTTTGAAGACAATAAAAATCAGGTATTCAGGTAAATCTAAATTCTGGACACATTTACACTGATTTGGCTTTGGTTTGAGTTTATTTAGTCCTCATGTGGACTTGACTTGGCCCTGTTCAGTCCAGTCTTGCTTAGTTCTGGTTGGTTTGGTTGAGTTTTTTCACTAGTTTAGTCCCAATTCCCATTTACCGGAACTGTGTGGGCATCATAAGCTTTTTGACAAATATAAATAAGTAATACTGTACGTGACTTCTATGTATTGAGTTGACCTACTCCATTTAACACTGTCCCTATAAATAAACTAATAAATATGAATGACTCACAGATCTATATTGCAATTTAACGTGTGACTAATGCTGCTTTTTACTGTGCTCGCGACTTGGAAAAAAACGATCTCCACGTCGAGAAAGTGCAATGGAACGGCCAATCAAATCAAGGTTCAGAAACATAAACTCAGGCCTCGAGTCGGTTGGATTTACGTCACAGCAAAAAATGTCAGCGCACACAGTAAACGTGGAGAATGATCTTTTTGTCATTTTGATATATTAAGTTTATATATGTGTAGAGAAAGTGTCTTCTAAAAACTTTGCAGTGGCATTTAGACTTTCTTTCACATTATTTGACAGTAGATTGTTTTTTCGAAGCATGTAAAAGTCAAGCTGTCATAATTAAGTCGCCGACAGCTAAAGTTAGGTAACAGATCTGAACTGACACGGCCTTAATTTATTAGTCGAAGCTCGTGACGTTGCATTAAACTTTCTCAGGCATCCATATTTTCCCCGACTGTTGCAATGGAACGCATTCACAAAAAGATGTCGAGAGAACAAACTCGGGTTTATCGACTACGGACGTTCAGTAGAATACGGAATAAACACCAAAACTCCTCCCACAACCACATTTCAGACTGAGCAGCACCTGGACGGACTAAAGAAAAGACCGAAGGGAGAGAACGAGCGGGGTCTGGGCTATGAAGAACTCTGTGATTGGTCTAACGGGAATCCACACTTTAAACTCCTCCCGTGGTGTTTGTAATGAGAAAAACCTGGCTGTACTCAGGGTAGTTCTGTGTAATGTCACCAACTACTGAATATTATAGAGAACACTGAAAGGAGCACAAACTTAGCTTTAGACATTTTTGACCAGAAAGCTGCAAATTGACCTAAATTGCAGTAAATTTGACAAAAACAATAACTATAAAGAGTGGATAAATGCTATTCAAACACCATATGCAGTTTAGTCAAAAAGTGGATTTAGTGCTTGGTTCCAACTTGGTTTAAAACGAACAACTGTACATGTGTCAATACCATAAAAAGCAGTTTCTTCTTTAAAAATATTTATCCTTGTACTTCAGTGGTTTTAAGTCGGCTCTTTTGTTTTGATATGTTGCTTGAAAATGAGAAAAGCTCACTGGGACTTGGAATAAACTCCAGTCTTTATCTCTGTCTGTATTTTTATGGTACTATGGGATCTCCGTAAGCACAGTTCTTTTCAATGCCCAAGTTGAACCAGTTTCCTTTCCCTCCTTTGTAAGCGCTGGTGACTATCCGTGCCCATCCATGTTCCCCCTGTAAAAAAAAACACAACGGGTTTGAGATACAGGAAAGGCAATATAATACTGTGCTCCTAAACTCCTAAAACTCCTAAACAGTCACACGGGGCTCTTCAGCGCAGTGTCCGAGCGGCTGGAGACTTCAACTCTGGGCACACGGCACTCAACCAAAGTTATAAAAGCACAGACAGCCTGTCTGCCCCGTTTGCAGGATAATCTCCTCAATTTGTAGATAAAATGTTCTTCTATAGTCTGTTTGTGTAAATTCTGGAGTGGAATATAAAGTTTATGGACCTAATGGAATTAAATAACAGATTGAGGAAATTCTCAGTGCACATGACTCAGAAGACGTGCTATTGTGGATATAAATGGATTTTTTTCCTTCTCTCGTGGCTCTAAACTGTAAGTTATCCATGTTTTGTTCTTCTGGACTTTGTTTTTGCTTGTAAACAAGGCACACATTTTAAAGGGATATGAATTGCTTCCCTAAGATAATGCGTAAAGTTTATACCTATAGGTCCATAGGCAATTAATTTAATTATTAATTTATTTCACATGTAGAAGCTCAGTTGGAGCAGAATCATCTGTTTAAAGTTGGGCTACGTGATTGATATGGATCGAGTTAGGCCCGTAGGAATTCTAGTGCCTGTAGACTTGGAGCATGTTGGACACTGTTCAGCGTTCACTCTGGTCTGTGCTTCCATCACACTAAACACTGCTCAGTGTTCACACCTGTTGTTTGTGTGCCCATTCATCTTGAACATTGTTATAACATTATATATAATAACTGTTGTTAGTGTGTCAGCGCCCATTCCCCCGCAAGGCAGAAAACACTTAGCGTCGCCTGCGTGACCTGTACGTGATGAGCAATTTGTGTATCATCTTTATACTGGAATCAGTATGTGACAACACTAATGTGCCCTCCAATACATGTAGATTTTGTGTTGGCGTTTGAGAAAGTAACAGACTAAGTAGAGTTAGAGCAGAGTTTTTCAGTAATGCAGTAGTAGATGTAAGCTACAGTTAAATACAGTTAACACCAAATATTTTATTCCTTTAAACAATGTTTGTATCCAGTGTCACAGCATGTACTTACAAGCAACCTAGTTTACAATAATTGTTTCAAATTGTGTTTCAGTCCCTGTAAAGGTGCACTACAAAACTGTTTTGGTGAGGTCTTGCTTGTATCCATGGAGATGTTCTTGTTTTGTATGGAATGTTCCACAGTATGGCATTTATCTATATTGCATCTATTTTATTACTAACAAATACAGTGAAAAACACACATTCTTACTGTTAACTCCCCTTCATAAATCTGGTCAGTAACTTGTCCTGTTGGCATCAGGACATCACCTGCTTTTCACAACATCTCCATGGACACACGCAGGTGGCAGACCCTCCAGCAGAAAAGTTACACAGTAAACCTTTAAAGAGACCATTACAGACTTTATGTAAGCCTGCCTTACCCAGAACTCTCCCCACGAGTTACGCACGACCCAGTACTCTGTCCCGTTGGCCACGCCCCACCCGGCCACGGACACGATGTGATTGGGCAGAGACAGAGGGTGGAACTCAGAGAACACGCCCCCCGAGTACAGCTCCAGACCATCAGTGGCCATCAACGCACAACTGCAAGAAAAAAAAAACACATTTAGAAATTAACTGTAAAAGGAAGTTAAAGCATCAATCATCAATCATTAGTAACGATCATTTGAGTGTCAGTAGAAATAGAATGATATGTTTTTTTCATGGCCGATACCTGGTTAGAATTGTTTATTTTCCTTAAAGGTCCTACATTATATATGATCTGTTTGTGATGAGGAAACAGCATGACAACAGATCAGAAAATAGTGTAACATCATGGACCCTTTAAAATATATGTTTGATTTGAAATGACTACAAACTCAAACTTCCGAGTGGATGTGAGAGTTATGTACTCACTAGTTTTATGCATTTCTTTGGGTATTTGGTGATGAGCTTAATGACTTCTAAGTTGGAAAATTACAGAGCTCAATGAGGTTTGAGTGAGCAGCAAATATTTTTTGTATTTGTACCAAAATCCAACTGTATCACCAATCAAGAACATAAAAATGCGCGGAGTTCTGTGCTGATCCTTTCGCCTGCGGTCACCCGACGGTCTACGCGGGTGCAACAGGCCTGTCCCGACACTCAGTCCTCGTTCAGTTCTTGTTTAGTCTTGGTTTAGACCTGATTTAGACCTGGTTTAGACCTGGTTTAGTCCTGGTTTTGTCATGTTTTAGACCTGTTTCAGTCCTGTTTTAGTCCTGGTTCAGTTCTGGTTTAGACCTGGTTCAGTCCTGGTTTTGTCTTGGTTTAGACCTGGTTTAGACCTGCTTTAGTCCTGGTTTAGTCCTGGTTTGTCTTGGTTTAGACTTGGTTTAGACCTGGTTTAGACCTGGTTTAGTCCTGGTTTAGTTCTGGTTTAGTCTTGGTTTAGACTTGGTTTAGACCTGCTTTAGTCCTGGTTTAGTCCTGGTTTGTCTTGGTTTAGACTTGGTTTAGACCTTTAGACCTGGTTTAGACCTGGTTTAGTCCTGGTTTAGTTCTGGTTTAGTTCTGGTTTAGTCTTGGTTTAGACCTGGTTCAGTACTGGTTTAGTCCTGGTTTAGACCTGGTTTAGACCTGGTTTAGACCTGGTTCAGTACTGGTTTAGTCTTGGTTTAGACCTGGTTTAGACCTGGTTTAGACCTGGTTTAGTCCTGGTTTAGTCCTGGTTCAGTTCTGGTTCAGTCCTGGTTTTGTCTTGGTTTAGTCATCCTTTAGTCCTCCTTTAGTCCTGGTTTAGCCTGTTTTAGTCCTGTTCATTCCTGTTTTAGTCCTGTTCAATTCTGGTTTAGTCCTGGTTCAATTCTGGTTTTATCTTGGTTTAGTCCTGTTTTAGTCCTGGTTCAATTCTGGTTTAGTCCTGGTTTAGACCTGGTTCAGTCTTGATTTTGTCTTGGTTTAAACCTGGTTTAGTCCTGTTTTAGTCCTGGTTCAGTTCTGGCTCAGTCCTGGTTTTGTCTTGGTTTAGTCCTGGTTTAAACCTGGCTTAGTCCTGTTTTAGTCCTGGTTCAGTTCTGGTTTAGTCCTGGTATTCAGTATAGAGTCTACTATAATATAATCAGCATCTTACACAAAATCGTATTTCTGAATTCACTCTCACTGCACTATGAGGACTTGCTATAAATCTGAACTGCCTTTGGTCTGATGTCGCGCTGTTGTGTTTCGTTGGAGACTTTTTAGCATATGCATGAAGGTAATACATTCAGGTGACTAACAGTTGTTCAGTAGCGTGTGGGCGGTCTGTCTTAAACGGTGCCGCGGCTGTAGGAGGACGGGTCTCTGTACCTTATGGGCCCGTTGGCAAAGATCTCGGCTTTCATTTGGTCTCGTCCTGAAACTTCTCCATAGTCTCCCACTCTCCACGCCGTGTAGTTTTTCACCACTGCGCAGGACTGGAAGTTGGAGCAGGTGCCGCACTGGTTGAACTCCTCACACTCTGAAACAACAAACGAGAAAAGGAAGTGATGAGGTTATGGTTAAAGGGACTCTATTACGCTCTGGTCTATGTTATAATGTTGTTTCCTCATCACAAACCGACCTGGAGTTGTGTTTTGTTTCACACTCAAGTGCTCGACCATGTTTTAAACTGAACTCCACACATCTTCACTAGAGTCATTTGGATAATTCAACCCTGGATTTGCTGATCTCTCCTGAACTAAAGGTAAAACGTGGCTGTAAGGTCCAAACATTTATGAAGCCAGACTGATGCTTTGTGCACCCCATTCTACCTTTTAAAATGCTTCAAAAGTGAAAGAATCTACAGAGAGCGATCCAAGTGCAGTTAAAAACTCTTGAGTATTCACATAATTGACGACATACAAAACATATAAAAAGGGGAACTTTAACAGGTTGGTGACAGGAGGTCAAAAACTGTTTGGCTCCACTCCCATGGTACACCTAGCCTGATTCATTGGCCGGTTTCACTTCTTAGAAACTGTCTGACCTCGCAGTGTTAGAATTCTTTCGCTCGACGGTTGGCGGGTACTTTTTATCATTTAACTAATCGCTGCTATTTGGTCGTGACGTATGTAATGCGCCGCTAACGGGGATAACTGGAATATTAAGCTTTTCAAATCCAAATCCCGTAGGAAGAAGAACAATAACAACTTTGTATTTGAGAATGGTCCCTACTAATGGTCCCTAATCAGTAGCCTGATTTATCAGACGGTTTCACTTCATGGAAACCAAATCCTGTAGGAAGAAGGGCAATAAAGTCTTTCCCCTTAATAAAATTCACCAACCATTCTCTTTATTGCGGCTTTAAATGCTTGATCTTGGGAATCATTGACAACACTGAATGTATGGCTCTTCGCTGATTGGCTGGTGCCCGAACTCGCACTTCCGTGGTTCTTTCAAACCGTCTAGTGTATTCCAATTCCTGACCTAGTCGCTGGAGAGAAATGAAATTGAGCGGAGGCACTAGGTGGTGCCAACCTGGCTAATGGTCCACCTGCAGTGTTGGGAAGGTTATTTTTAAAATGTATTCCCCTACAGATTACAGATTACACACCCCAGAATGTAGTTTGTAACGTAATCCATTAAATTACTAAAAGTGAGTAACGTAATCTGAATACTTTGGATTACTTGATTTGCTGTAGAGAAGCAAAGACGAGGAAATCTTCACATAAGATATTTTTTCTGCTAAAAGACAATAAAAAAGCCCAGACTTTCCTTGACGGTATGAAAAATATTATTGATAGAATGCATGGTTTAGTCCTGTTAAATCCTGTTCAAGACCTGATTTAGACCTGGTTTAGTCCTGGTTTAGTCCTGGTTTTAGTTCTGGTTTTAGTTCTGGTTTTAGTCCTGGTTTTAGTCCTGGTTTAGACCTAGTTTAGACCTAGTTTAGACCTAGTTTAAACCTGGTTTGGAACTGGTTTAGACCTAGTTTAGACCTGGTTTAGACCTGGTTTAGACCTGGTTTAGACCTGGTTTAGACCTGGTTTAGTGCCCGGCAATGAGTGGAATTACCAAACTGAATACAGTTACTCATAATTTGTACTCTGATTATGTAACTCCGGTACATGTAATCTGTTACTCCCCAACACTGTCCACCTGTACTCACCTTAAATAAGGAGCCATAGACCATTACTGAAGTAAATTTTATTAACATTAGCAATAATTAATTGAAAGAAAAATGCAAATGGATCAAATTATTCTTAAGCAAATAATCAACAAATAATCATGTTAACCATAAAGCATGACCAAAATGACCAAAAACCATGCATTTTAAGTAAATATTAAATGAAACAAAATAAGAATAATTATCTCTACACTTCACACTGCAAACTGTCTTTAATATGACCATCCCACTCGTCCTCAAAATTATGGACTTGGGCCCCAAAACTCAAAACAATCAATGGATTTCTCTGGAGCGTAATTTTAGTGGCAGGAAAAAAAGGCCATTACACAAAACGGATGACACAAACTGCACCATCAATCAAAGACTCATCAGAAATTATAATTTAAATTTCGAAAAATGGAAAAAATAACGTTTGGATTTAATTTGAAAATGGACCTCTTTGACAAAATGGGACTCATAGGGGAATGTAGGATGTCATTTGTCTAATTTTTTGCACTCAGTGTCGTGTTCAATGTTGTTTTACCAATGTTTATCTTTTCAGAAATCCTAAAAAAAAATAAAACCAGAACAAAAAAAAGAACAGAGCATTTTGAGCTTTTTTATGTAGACAGAAGACTAATAAAGAGTTACTCAAACATGTGTGAATGAAACAAAACACAATTCCAGGTTTGTTTTTGACGAGGTAAATGCATTCTAAAATTTTTTGTATAATTTTGGATCTTTAAGATACACTTTTTTGTCCCTGTAAGAAAATTCGCCCGCTGCATTTGACCCATTTAGGCCCACCTTGACTGCAGGATTGTACCTCTTGTGCATGTTTTGGGTTACGAGAAACGAGTAAAATCCAGAAGCATCTTATTTAAGTCTAGTTTAAAAACACACTTTTACTCACTGACTTTTAACGCGGCGTGAGAATTGTGTGGTCCTCTGATTGTTGTTTTATTGATTGATTTGCTATTTTAGTATTTTTTATGTTTTTTATTGACTTGCTTATTTATTTATTTTATGCTTTATTTTATTTAATGTTTTAATTTATATTGTGCTTACTCTGTCAAGCACTTTCGCAAGCTTGTCTTGGTGAAATGTGCTATACAAATAAAGTTGGATTGGATTGGATTTTTGTGGGAAAAAATAAAAATACTGTGTTAAATTGTTCATCGCTATTGATAGTTTGCAGTGACAACTAGGGGTGTGCAAAAAATATCGGAATATCGATATATCGTATCGTTTAATGTGATGATACAGTATCGATATCATGGGTTACTGTATCGATATATCACCAAGAGTATTTTTACGTGGTTTACTAAATTATTTTGGTACATAGCTTCAGTTTTGTTGCTTGTGGAAACTCATTTATGTGACACATTTGACATTTTGACTCTGTTTTGGGGATTAAAATGTTTGTGTTTCATATGAACTTTGCACAAGAAGTGATTTAACAAACACTTTTAGTATCACAGCCATGATTTAACCTTTATTTTTTATTGAACCGTATCGAATCGATTTGAAATATATCATATCGAATTGAAAGTTCACTGTATCGAGATATGTATCGTATCGTGGCCTACGTATCGAGATATGTATCGTATCGGCAACTTCTTAATGATACCCAGCCCTAGTGACAACACACTGGGGGTGCTCTAGATGTATGTGTATGGTGGAATGTTCATCAGTTGCCATGGAGACGCAATGCAAACACTGTTAAAAGGTTTTAGGATTGTCTGAAGACGCAAAAAACAGATACAAAATGGATTTAAACAGCACATTTTCAAGAGGCTGTGTTCAAATTAACAGTTCACGGTCCTGTTTAGGTGTTTAAGTGTTTGATTTTTTTATTTTTAAAGATGAGAATGATTGAAAAACTGGTGAATAATGTTAGTGACTAGGGCTGGGTATCATTAAGAAGTTGCCGATACGATACATACCTCAATATATAGGCCATGATATCACATATCTCGATACAGTGCACTTTTGATTCAATATGATATATTTCAAATCGATTCGATACGGTTCAATAAAAAATAAAGGCCAAATCATGGCTGTGATACTAAAAGGCTTTGTTAAATAATTTCTTGTGCAAAGTTCATATGAAACACAAACATTTTAATCATCAAAACACTAAAAATGTCAAATGTGTTGCATAAATGAGATTCCTTTCACTCCACAAGCAACAAAACTGTAGCTCTGTAACAAAATAATTTAGTAAAACACACCTAAAAATACTCTTGGTGATATATCGATACAGTATCCCACGATATCAATACTGTATCATCACATTAAACGATACGATATATCGATATTCCGAAATTTTTGCACCCCCCTATTAGTGACTGTAATTTTATTTAAGAGGGACTTCCAACCAGTATTTCCAACCAAGTCAGCTCTTTCTGGTCAGACTGTGTTAAAATGAAGCTCAGATTAAAGTTTTAAAACGCCTCAGACAGAGCAGAGCCTCCAGTTAGCGTCACAACCCCGGGGGGAAAGTCGAATACATCAGCAGAAGTATCAGTATCAGCGAGCATTTTGAAAGCCTTGGACAGAAGCTTCTCGCCCACCCCGGCCGTGTGTCATGTGGTGTATAAGATAATCTGAAGTGACACCGGCTTCTCTCCATTGTCCTTGAGATGACTTTTCTCCAACACAAGGCCTGTTTATGTGACGGACGGATACTCTCAAAGGCAGCGCTGGTGAATAAAGCTTCTGGAAAAAAAAAAAAAAAAAAACCACAAAAAAAAACCCACAGACAAACACAAAAAGATGAATCATTGAAAGAGTGGGAGATGGAGACAGACGCAGAGAGAGAGAAACAGAGAGAGACAGACAGACAGAAAGAGAGAAATAGAGAAACAGAAAGAGACAGAGAGACAGACAAAAAGACAGAGATATACAGACAGACACAGAGAAAAAGAGAGAGAGAAAGACAGGCAGAAAGAGACAAAACAGAAAGAGAGAGACAGAAAGAGACTGAGAAAAAGAGACAGAGAGAAAGAGAGAGACTAACAGACACACACAGAGACAGACAAACAGACAGAAAGACACAGAGAGACAGACAGAGAGAAAGACAGACAAGAAAGAAAGAGAGACAGAGAGATAGACAAATATATATATATATATATATATATATATATATATATATATATATATAGAGAGAGAGAGAGAGAGAGAGAGAGAGAGAGAGAGAGAGAGAGAGAGAGAGAGAGAGAGAGAGAGAGAGAGAGAGAGAGAGACATACAGACAGACAGACAGACAGAGAGAGAAAAAAGAAAGAAAGACAGAATGAGAGAGACAGAGAGAGCGACAAAGAGAGACAGGCAGAAAGACACAAAGACACACGGAGAGAACGAGAGAGACAGAAAGAGAGACAAAGAGAAAGAGACAGACAGACAGAAAAAAAAGAAAGAGACAGAGAGAGAAAGACAGACAGAAAGAGACAGAGAGAGAGAAAGAAACAGACAGAAAGAAAGAGACAGACAGACACAGAGAGACACAGAGAGAGAGCCAGACAAAGAGAGACAGATAGATAGAGAAACAAAGAGAGAGACAGACAAACAGACAGAGAAAGAGAGAGAGACAGACAGAGAGACCGACACAGAGAGTCACGCAGAGAGAAAGAGAGACAGAGAGAATCAGAGAGAGACAGACAGAGACAGAAAGACAGACAGACAGAGAAAGAAACAGACAGACACAGAGAGAGACACACAGAGATAAAGAGAGAGACAGAGAGAAAGAGAGACAGAGAAAAAGAGAGAGAATCAGAGAGACAGACAGAGAGAAAGAGAGAGAGAGAGAATGATAGAGATAATTAGAGAGAGACAAACAGACACTCACACACACAGAGACACAGAAAGAGAGATAGAGAGAGAGATAGAAAGAGAGACAGACAGAGAGAAAGGGATAGAGAGAGAGAACTACAGACAGACAGAGAGAAAGAGACAGAGAGAAAGAAACAGAGAGAGAGACAGAAAGAGACAGGAAGACAGACAGAGAGACAGAGACACAGAGAGTCACACAGAGAAAAAGAGAGACAGACAGACAGAGAAAAAGACAGAGATAATCAGAGAGAGACAGAGATAATCAGAGAGAGACAGAGATAATAAGAGAGAGAGAGACACAGAGAGACAGAAAGACAGAGAAACAGGAAGAGGCAGACAGAGAGGAAGAGAGAACAGAGAGAGAGCTGATGCTGCTTTTGCCCTGGGCCTCTGTCACAATAAGAGGAAGAATGGCTGCTCTGCTCTTAGGGATAAAGCACGGATAAGTCCTCAAAGGAAACACAAACAGCTGTATGTTGAAGGTACAAGCTATTTAAAGCCCCCCTGTGGAACTTTCTAGACAAAAATATAGCCCGGATTTTCCACCTGCTTGACTCAATAGAAATGTTGTTCTTTTGGCTCTAATCACCTGCAGTATGGCAATAAAAATATCTACATGAATAATGTCCCAAAGTATGGTTTAAAATGTTGTAAAAGGGTAGAAGAGGGTATTTCTTTGCCCGGAATGTTCGACAGTATGGCATTAAACATATCTCCATAGAGAAGCAGGTGACGCTAGGCTAAAGTAGGTTAAAACAGATACAGATAGATTTAAATGCCATATTGTGGAAAAACACACAAAAAGCAAAAACGTTTTCATTGTAATGTGCAGGTTCCACCTAGGCTGATTCATTAGCTGAAACCGTCTGATCTCGCAGCATTAGGATTCGTTCGCTCGACGGTAGGTGGGTACTTTTTTTATTTAACCAATCGCTGATATTTGGTCGTGACATATGTTAACGGGGCTGATTGGCTGGTGCCTGGACTCCCACTTCTGGGGTTTTCACAAACCATTTAGTATATTCTGATTCCTGACCTTGTCACTGGAGAGAAATTAAATTGAGCAGAGGCACTAGGTGATGCCAGCGCCAGCCTCAGACTCACTAAACTAAACCTTCAAAAAACTGCTCAAAACTCACCTTTTCCTCACAGCCTACAGCCCCCACACACGACTGCTCCTCATTACTGTTTGTCCTGTCCTTGTTTTAATGTTACTTTATTGTGAAACATCTTTGTGTTACCATGAAAAGCTCTATATAAAACCAATGTATTATTATTATTGTGAAACATTGTTACGATATTAAAATTTCAAACTGGATTTTGATGACTTGATTTTAAGAAATAGACTCTGCTCCTCAAAACTGATTTTCGATACCACAATTATAATTTTTAAAATGACTTATTGTTTTATGTTTTATGATTAAATACTAGGGATGTAACGATATCCAAATCTCACAGCACGATATTATCACAATATGCATCTCACAGTACGATATTTATTCCAATATTTTGGAGAGGCTGATATAATTGTAGACAGGACGCTTTTCTGCTTTTAAAATATCCTGACAAAAATTAGGTGTGAATTATTACTGTAATAATCTCAAGAATTCAAAAAAACATATTTCTTCATGTTGTCTGCACTGAAATGAATCATGGGATATGTAGTTCCCGATGTTTATTTGCAATTGCTACTATAAAACTATGCGTTTAAGCAAAGGATTTTGTAATTCTTTATATTGTGACAGCCCATGGTATTATTGTGAGACTTCTGACGATACGATATCACAATATTTCGTTTATTGTTACATCCCTATCAAATCATACTTTCTTTTATATTCCCATGTGGCCTTATATCTGTGTAATGGGCGTGTACTAGTCTGTGCGCTCTTAAACTTGTTCTGATACAGCTCAAGATCATTCTAAACATTCATTTCTATCCTGTGAATGTGACTTTTTTTTAGAATCGATACATGCTCAAACTAGTTTCGATCAGATTTTCGATACTTTTGACGACCCCAGTCCTTACTTTGGTTTTTGGCCTGGTAGTTGTTGCAGGTTTCGTCTGGGATTCCTCTGCGGTGGGCGTAAGCGTACACCCTGAGATGGTCTCCTCCAAAACAGGACCCGGCATGTCCGCAGTCGATCACATTCTGCACAGACAGGTACGCCGACGGCCACGAGCCACCGCGCTTGATGTTTATACGGTCTGCAAGAAAACAACAACACAAAACACTTAAAGCTGCACTATGAACTTTTAGGGTGGAGAGTAGTTGCTAGTCTTCATTAAGATGTCTAGCAATATTTATACAGTGTTAAAACATTGTTCCCTCGTCTAAAACATGCCTGAAGTGTTTTTCTGAATCATTCATGCATCGTGTCTGAGTAATGTAGCAATCTCTCACAGATCCTATTTGAACCCTCTTTATTGTCTTTATTTATTTATTTCATATGAGACCAGAGACTTAAAGAGACAGAGAGAGACTCCAAACAGAGCATCAAAACCAAAAAATAATTAAACCATAAAAAAGTTGTTTTCAGTGAATATAACATTTTCAAACCAACAAAAGTTAACATGGTGATCTAAATATGTTTTGTGTTAGTCGTTAATACCTCACAGAAGTGTAATTCCCCTCTTTAAATTCTTTAGTTGTGCAATAAAACATATAAACCAGCAGAGGGCAGGAGAGTGTAGCCATTTACCATTTACTTTTCTCCATCCCTTCTTCTGTTATTCTGATTGCCTTGTTAATGTGTTTTCCCAAATATACAAAGGGTGTGTGATGGTGGAATAGTATTAATAGTACTGTCCTTATAAAAAAATAAAACAAAATAAAACTTACAAAGCAGAATTACACAAAGAGGCTGTGAATGCAACAAAACAAAACTCTAGGTATTAAGGATGTGCAATTAATTGAATTTTGATCGCGATTAGTATTTGTGTTTATTTTAGGATTAGTTTATTTTGGGATTTGTTTATATAAATAAGTTTTTTTTTTTTTTTTGTAGAGATTGTAGAACAGCTGGATATATAGTTTATTTTGGATACGTTTATGTTTTTCTAAGCTTTATTTCATGTTCAAAGTATATTTTATTTATTTTATGTTTCATACATCGCAAAAGTGTTCTAAGGTTCATATTTGTAGCCTATATTTATTGTCACTTTGAAAGTTTTGTGTAAATTATCAATAACAAAAGTGTTTTTTTAAGATGCTGAATAAATGCACCATGTAACTAAAAAATAATTGTTTGAATAATCGTGATTTCAATATTGACAAAATAATCGTGATAATGATTTTTTTCCATAATCGAGCAGCATTACTAGGTATGTATATTTTAAATAAGAGAATATTATTTAAAAAAATCATTCAAACCTCTGTATCATCTGTACGTTTTAAATGTTGCGCTAATTTTGCACAAAATTATTTATTATCTCTACAGAACCACTACTGCAGCTTTTCATTAAAGATGGAGTATTAACTGCTAACACATAACATATTTACATCACCACGTTACTTATTATTGAAATTTTGAAAATGGCATTTTGTTTTTACACTCTTGAGTCCCTCCTCCCTTTGCACCTTTTTGCTCTCTGCATCACTTCCCCTTTAGAGTGCTAACACCACACAGTCAGCGTGCAGCCCGTTAATGAAACTACTGCACATTGCACCAGGTCTGTCAAGTTGTAGTGTATCGTTTTGTATGATGCTTGTAGAAAATTGCGTGCGGGAGCTTGGGTGATGCAGGGTTGTGGGCTGTAAGGAGAGTTGAGGGATTACTCAATGTTATGGTAGTGTGAACAATAATCTTATTGTACTCATTTCATACTAAATGCTCGCTACATTTAAAGTGCAAAATGTTCTCTTCAGTGGCCTTGAATGATACAAACTGCAGGTGCTCCGTGATTTTCCCAGAATTATGTATCAGCTAAAAGGACTTTCCAAGACTTATGTATCAGATAAAAAAACACATTTTAACATTTAAAGACCTTTTTAAGACCACTTAAATGAAAATTAAGACCAACATCGCACTCATTATGCGGGCGAAAAATCCCAGATCCAGTTCTAATAATGACCAACCAACTACGGCAGGAGTGTCAAACTCATTTTGGTCCGGGGGCCCTATCCAACCTACTTTGATCCCAAAAGGGGCCGGATCAGAAAACTCATGTCATACACACCACAAAAATAACAATAAGTTCAAATATTTGTGCAGAGAAACACAAATCTATTACAGAAATCTTTTTTAATTGATGAACTCTTTCTTTTACAAAATATTATAACATTATGAACAACCTGAAAAATACAATTTCAACACAAAGTTTTAACATGAACTTGTTTGCAAATAGGAATAAGTCAATTTTTCTTGGAAAATCCTGCACTCGGCTCCACTTTTCTTTTTGCTGATGAGGGTGTCACGGTCAACAGTCAAAACGATCGTCCTTTAAGAGCGTTTGGAAAGAGACAAGTCTTCATTTGTGCTGCTCTGGTGGGAGGGGCCACGTACAGAGACGCTGGAGACACTGTTATGATAAACACCACAGAAAATTACCAATATTTTAATAGAAAATATAATACAAATATTTTAGTAGAAAATCAGCTGAGGGTCACATTAAAAGGTCTCGGAGGGCCGGATCTGGCCCCCGGGCCGTATGTTTGACACCTGTGAACTACGGTACTATATCTAGAATCTAAGAGCCACTGGATTAAACCTACACTTCCCCATGATCCATCCAACATCTTCCTCCATTGTACTGATTGTTTGGACAACAGAATTTGAACTTTAAGACCTTTTTAAGACTTTTAAGACCCTGCGGCTACCCTGTTATAACTGGACTATACAAAGGTTTTATAGACTCTCAGACTTCTCAGAAACCTCAGCTAGATGCTTGTAGATTATTGGTATGCTTATGTTATACTACCAAGCTATAACAGTTACTCTTTGTCCGCACTTTTAAATAGATCATATAATTTAATTAAAAATGTCTGAAAAATGCAAAAGAAAGCTCATTGTGTTAGATTAGAAGAGTGGGGGTGGGATTAAATATGTTTTATCTTCTTCCCACTCCTTTCTGGGCAATATTTTGTTGTGGTTGTTTTCATTTCTATTATGATTTCTCTTATGTTATATGTTCCATTGTATACAAATGTAAATCTCTACTTGCCAAAAATAAATAATATACATAAACATACATAAGACTCACTAACATTTTTTGATTGTTCGTCACCCTGATGCTGTGAATTCTGCTGTAACACCATTAAAGATACTGTAAGAACGATCTCCGTGCCTCTGCGCTTGTTTTTTCATCATCAACATCAACAGCAGAAACCCCAATACACCCTCTTTAAGAAGAAAATGTGCCTTATTTCTCCCACACATTTCAGCGTGCAGACATTAGACAGTACCTGCGAGCGCGCTGGTGGCCCCCATGGCCCAGCAGGAGCCACAGTACTGGGGGATGTGCTGGTTCCTGGTCACACTCACAAAGTTTTTTCCTTTGATGTTTCTCCAGTCCCAGGACTCAGGCAGGTCTGAAGGGGCCAGGAGCTCATGAGGGCGGCTGTGGGTCCTGTAGGAAGCAGAAGAGAACAATAGAGTTAAAGATCTCAGGAGAAAAGAGGGGAAATGATTAGACATCTTATTAAAGAGGGGGTATTATGCAAGATTTTTTGGAGCATTATATTAGGTCTGTCACGATAACATAAAGCCACTGACATAAAGCAAGATAATCCCAGTAAACCATTTTTAAATAGACAGTATCATTAAAAGGTCTGAGCTGCAACAAATACATAGTAGAATGAACTCTTAATTGACAATAGAAGTTAGTTATTCAACAGCTAGGGTGACCAAACGTCTGTTTTTCCATGTACATGACCGTTTTTTGCATCCTGTCCTGGGTGTCTGTTTTTTTTTTTTTTTGTTTTTTTTTTTAAAGTGATGGAAATGTCCGGATTTTCATATTACTGTTCATTGGGGCCATTAAATTGAGCGGCTCTTGTAGCTCTCTGTGAACTCAGAACGAGCGAGTAGATACAAACAGCGCAAATGTGTATTTAACAATGACTTGTACAAAAAATTCTCCATTTTCCAACATGGTCAGGACAAATGGGAGGCCATGTGCACAGGTTGTGAGGTGAGAGTGGTGAGTGTAGCTCAATGTCGAGGCCCCACCCCCCCACTCCTGGTAAGGTGTCCGGGTTTTCACAAACAGAAATATGGTCACCCTACCTACAGCTCAAGTTTTACTGTTCAATATCCTCCAAGGCCAGAATACATTGTTTTGTAGAAGTAGTAAATTAAGAAAGAACAGTATGGAGCCTGTTACTAACCATCTTACAATCACAACTGAACCTGTGTTGCCACTGCCTTGCCCTGCAGATAGAGGACACCTGCAACCACCTTTCTCATAGTTAGTATCTGGACAGGCCTCATGTGAAAGCTCAGAACCTCCAGAATTCCCTCCCTGAGCTGGAGAGGCTGCACTAGCACTGATCCATGACTGGCTGCAGGTTCTGGGGTTTAGGCAGTGAGTGACCATTTAGCTCAAAGAGAGGCATTTTAGGTTTAAACCAACTGGATTTCAGCACTGAAACTGGCAACCCAAATAAGAGAGAGCCTTCTGATTGGTCTTGAGAACCAAAACACCAAAATACAATAAACAACTTGACCATCATCTCCAATTATTTTGTAATTAGGAACAAAATCAGAAGGGCTGGTTATCATTAAGTTGCTGATACAATACATATCTCGATACAGTGCACTTTCGGTTGAATACAATATATTTTAAGGGCTAAATCATGGCTGTGATACTAAAAGTCTTTGTTAAACCACTTCTTGTGCAAAGTTAATATGAAACACAATCATCAAAAAACAGTGAATATTTTGAATGTGTCACATAAATGAGTTTTCTTCCTCTTAACAAACAAAACTGTAGCGCTGTAACAAAATAATTTAGTAAAATATGCTAAAAAATACTCTTGGAGATATATCGATACAGCAGCCCACGATATCGATACTGTATCATCAGATTAAACAATTAATCAACAAACGATATACTGACATTTCGATATTTTTGCACACCACTAAAAATCTGTGTTACAGTTGTTATCAGTAAAAGCTATATCTGATTTAAACAGATAGGTAATGTTTATAGAATTTAAAATAAATAATAAAAAAATACATAAAACTCCTTTAACGATAACTATTCCCTCCAGTGAGATAAGATCATTTGGAAATAGTTTTAAAGAGACGTCACAAGTTAAAGTTATAAATGTGTGTCTTCTGAATAATTAAGTTAAATTAAATGAGTCAAAATGTAGCTAAAATATAATTAATGACACGATTTGTTTACTTTTATATGACAGTTCAATCCTGCACAGCTCATATTTCTATTATCGTTTCTCATCATCTCAAAAACATAACAATGCACCAATAAAACCCCTTATTCTCGAAAATCATGCAGTTTTCCGCTTCCTACCTCACAAAATCCGGTCTGTCGTCTTGAATGGGTTTGTAACAAGGCTCAGTCAAAAGTTTCAAAGCTGTAATTTCCTTAAAATATAAGAATAAACAAATGAGCAGCGGGCAGAGAGTAAACAGCGCCGCCATGTTGGATCTGTGTGTGGTCATGAGGAGTCACAGCGCCCTCTGCTGGACAACACTTAGCACAGTCAGAGTTAGTTAGAGGAGCCAAAATGCACAAAATACGCAACAAAAATATATAAATAACTGTCTAGTCGTACAATATACGCAACTAAAATATATAAATAATTGTCTAGTCGTACAATATACTCCACAAAAACTATATAAATAATTGTCCAGTCATGCACAGTTTTTTTTTTTTTTTTTTTTTTTTTTTTAATGTTAGTCATAGCCTATTTATTTAATATTTTCATTGCTAGTAACTATGATAATCAAAATAAAAAAAGCCTACGCCATACAGCCATGTATTTAGTGTAACCTTTGCTCATTTTTAACATTCATTGTTGTTGCCAAAAGTGTGTAAATTACTTTATATTCTAAATGTACAGGTTTTATCAATTACCTGCTATATATAACTCTACTGAGTAACATTTTGCCCTAAAAATAGACTTTTATTTTTAGTTTTTTTAATTGCACTGAAAAGCATTAAAAACATGTGTCCATGTGAACGGACTTATATCTCCACATTGTTTTGAAATATGGCAAAGGAGAAATTCAATTTGTCAGCTGGACAAAGTGGATTCTACCTGGATGATTAAGGGATTTTTCACACATCTTGAGAACAACTATGAGCCTACCATTGAAAAGGCTGACAGTATTAACTGAAAACAACATATTAACATGTTTAATAAAATTCAGTTACGTTTTTGATACTGTCTCCTTTTATTCTCCGTGTTAAATTTACTCCCTCTTCAGAGTGCAACAATCAGCTAATGAAACTACTGCACAGTGTATTGAACTGAGTTGAATTGAACCGTCATGTGGGAGCACAGGTTTCCACACGTCTCCAACACTCTGGCTAACTAGGAAATTTCAGATTGTCCCTTTAATTGTACATAATACCCTCTCTTTAAAGTCAGAATTGAAAAATGGGAATTCCCTTTATGCCTTATTGTTGCTAGGCATTCAGTAAAATGTAAAATGTAAAAAGTGAATACTGTTTAAAGGTCCTGTATTAAGGAACATTGACTCTTGTGAGCTTTTAGTCATGTTATAATATTGTTACCTAATCAAAAACAGACCTGGAGCTGTGTTTTGTTTCATTCACACATGTCTGAGTAACACTTTATTATTAGTCTGTCTGCATCTCCAAAGCTCAAAATGCTGTATTCCACCTTGTGATGTCATGAAGCTGTGGTTTTCAGTTCAGCTCGTTTTACCTGTAGAGATCAACAATTCCAGCAGTATCCATATTAGTTCATTTCATGTACATTAAGTTAATTACAGCGCACATAATTTAATTCCTTTATTCAGACTTATATTCTAATTTGGATGCACACATTTTAGTTAATATAAGTCTGAATTATCACTTACGCTTGTTCTTTTTTTGTTTTGTTTGAGCAGCCAGGTGGAGGACCCTTGTCAGAGACCATCCACGAATCAACAAAGGGGAGGGGAGCACAATTTAGTTTGTGTAAGTTCATTTGTCTATTGTTGTTGAAGATTACTTTATTGTCACTTATTATTTTCTGTATTATACTTATTTGCCTTTTTGTTGCTTTGATTAAGTTAGTAGTTTTGGTTAATTATTTCGTGTAATTCGTCTCTCTTGTGTTCAGTTTTAGCTGGCCCTCATATATTTAATTAAACACCCCTGTTTTTTGTCTGGTTGGGTTAGTTTTGTCCTGTTCAGTTTGATTTTTCAGTTTTTGATTTTTTTTTTAAGTCACTCCAGTTGGGCCCGGCTTTTTGTTAATCCATCTATTAATTTTCTTCCGCTTATCCGGGGCCGGGTTGTGGGGGCAGCAGTCTTTTTGTTAATGATTTACCTAATTTAAGCCTTTGTTAAATTGCATCTTAAATTTAAACTTATTTTCATACCTCGTCTTTGCCTTTCTGTTTGGTCCACTACACCTGGGCTGAAATTATCCAAATAATTCTAGTGATGGTGTTTCGAGTTTAAAAACACAGTGGAGAACTTCCTGTATTACCACATGACATCACAAGGTGGAAGAGAGATCAGAAAATAGTGTAGTAAATAGCGTAATATGGGCTCTTTAAGTTGAGAAAATGGTCAAACTTAATGCTGAAATATTAGAGTCATGTATTACGTTTCTATATTTAACTTCATAATAACTTCTCTCCTCTTTGGCAGCGCCCTCTGTTGGTTAATAAACTCTGATCGATGTCTAACTTCCGTGTAAACTAAAGGTGCGGAGCTGCTGACGGGGCAGTGTCAGCGGGAAACTTCTCAATAACATACTTAGTACCAATCTCATTATGACCGGGCTAATGTTTATACGCTCTGATAATGCACGGCTCAAACAAGGTTACAACTAAGAGACCTGGACTAAAGCTTGTGTTTGTATTGGCCGCGCTGCTGTTTGTGCTTTTAATGACTTAAACTAGAATGAGATTAGACTTGCATTAGCCAAATGATGAACCCGCAACTGGAGACAGCATAAATCACTGCTTATTTGATGGATAATTGGACTTCAAATTAAGGTTCGGCTGCTAAGTGTACAAGCAAAAAGCGATGTAAACAGGAAACTACTTCAAACTTGTCATGCGTCTTTCCTATTTCTCGTTTAATTAAGTTTCAAGAAAATGCAAAGTGGATTGGAAATAAAATGGGCTTTTGTACGTCACATAATGTTGGAAGATTTGCAACTCAAGAAAAAAAAAGGAAAATAAACTTGCAATAACTAATTAACAAACTAAATCAGGGGGTCATCAAACTAAGGCCCGCGGGCTGACTCCGGACCTCCACGCCCCTTTGACCGGCCCCTCAGCCCCTCTGCCCCCACCACTTGAACCCATGAGGCAATAAGAGTTGTCATGGCCTTTTTTTTTTTTTAAATTACTTTTTGGCAAATAAACCAGAACCCAAACTAGAATCTAAACCAGGACTCAAACCAGGACCTAAACTAGAATCTAAATCAGAACCCAAACTAGAATCCAGAGAAAAAAGTTTGGTGACCCCTGAACTAAATCAGTCCAAATAAATAGTTTGTAAGAAGAGAACAGTAGGAGATCTGAATCATTCTGACGTGCAGTAAAAGTTGTTTATTTAGGCAAATCGGACATGCTGATGCGTTTAGACGGTTAGATGGGAGTGGTTTTCTTCAGGGCAGATATAAAGAGTTTAAAAAGTCACCAGGGGGCCTTGAATATAAAAAAAAGAAAAAACATCATCACGTGAGGAAGTCATGTGCAGTTGAGAGATCTTCCTATCACAAAAAAGAACAGCAAAAGAATAAACTCTTGCTTGTTACTCGTAGTTCTGTCTTCTATTTGACATCAGTGTATACAGTAAGAGGTGGCTCCCCGTTAAGACTAACAGCTATATATTGAGCTAGAATGTTTTTAACTGTTAACTTAATTGAATGATTTGCAAAAACTATTTACGTGGCCATTCCGGCTTGTCAAAGCCTGATCCCGTCAGATCTCAGAAGCTCAGCAGGACTGGGCCTGGTCAGTACTTGGATGGGAGACACTGGGAAAATCAGGAGTCACAGTGGGGAGCCAGTCATAAAATCTGATGTTGTGTCCTTAGGCAAGGCATCCACATTGCTTAGTATGAAAGTGGTGTGTGCATGAGTAATGGTGATGGTCGGAGGGGCCAATGGTGCAGATTGGGAGCCACGCTTCTGTCAGTTTACCCCAGGGCAGCTGTGGCTACAATAGTAACTTACCCCCACCGAGTGTGGAGTGAATGAATAATGATCTGTAAAGTGTCTTTGCGACATGTCTGTGAAAAGCTTTCTATATAAATAAAAACTTAATTACTTTATTGTGACTTTATTGTGTTCCATCAAAATGATTAAAACATAAAATGAATGTTTGATATATCATATGTGGACATATAAATATCAAAATATTATAAAAAATATAATTCTTTGTTTTTGCACTTACCAGATCCCAATCAGCCCAAATAAGAAAATTAAATCAATAAAGCATGCCATGCAAGAGTTTCTTAGAAGGTTAAACAGTATAAATACAGTAAATACGTCCAATAGTACATAAGCAGTACACAATGACCTCTTAGAGAAAGACAGAAAACTCAGTGTCCTCATTCAGACCTTGGGAGTTTGTGGTTTCCATCGTTTGACACAGAGTTTTTAGTCCATCTCCTCATAGTTTTGGTCATGACCTCCGAGAACATGTCTTTAAGAAGTTTGATGTTGCACCAGAGGATTTCAGATGTTGTGCTCTTGGGTAATTGTGGTTTTGTGTCTTGGATGGTGAAATGTCCTTACACCACGGGGTCTGGGAGTGTGGCTGCCCGGGTGGTGCGGCTGCAGAAGTTCGAGGAGGGTTTGGGTTTGAGTCTCTGGGTTGGGGGAAGAATGTTTGTGTTGATTTTTGCCAGGCAGGTCATTTATAACCAGTTGTTTTTTTCAGGGAGGGGTTCTTGTCACTGCAAAAAGATGAGGCTCCTTGGAAAGTGCTGGGTCAGTCTGGAAACTGGCCCAGACTTGATTAATATTGTGTTTTATATTGTTTGTAAAGTTGCTGTATTGCAGAGAGAAAAACTGATTTATAGATGTGTTTTTACTTTTTTCGTTTGAAGAAGTCTTGTCTGTTTAAGGATTTTGCTTTGGATAAAACTTGGTCCAGGGTTTCATTTTGGTTGTAAGAGTTTTGTAAGTCTGCTCAGAATAAGACCACATGTTTGTCACTGCAATAAACACAACCAAATAAAAAAACTTTTATTTTATCATTTTGACACTAAGTTACAGACTGTGGCTTTAAGCAATTATGGGACTTGCAGTTTTAAATAATTATTTATTAGTATTGCCCAGAGGTGAGGACTTGCAAGTCGTGACTTGGACTCGAGTCAGACTTTGATAAAATGGACTAAGACTTGGGACTCGACTTGGACTTGAAGGTCAGTGACTTGGGACTTGACTCAGACTTGAGGCCTGTGACTTGAGAAGACTTGAGAAGCACTTTTAAATGTGAATTTTTTTCTATTC